TAAATTAATTCACCAGAAATTCATAGTAAAATCGATTAATTGAATTTTCAAAATTAGGCTAAATTAAAGTTTGCGTTGCCAGCCAGGCCTCAGAGGCACGCAACGCCCAAAAGGTGCAAAATTACCCACGGTCTTATATCCATACCTTTCCAAAAATGACTTAAATAAGAAATTACATTATTCTAACAGTATATCGACCTACACAAATAAAAGTCATTATAGACTGCCTCAGCTGGTATCATGCCGAAATACACAGTTAAAAGGAGACATCTGAAGGAATCTAAATAGATTTAATTGTTTTGCTAGTTAATATGTATGCTGGAACGGGTCTGATCGGACCACCATCATATACGTAGTTTTCATAGAAATTATCAGAAAATGTAAAAAAAAGACTATAGTTTTTGTTGTGTTCAAAATATTTCCATCTTCTCCGAGATGTAGTGATTTTTACTGTATTATAGAATCTTTAATAAGGATTTACGAACAATTGGTTACTGAAAATGTTCCTCAACATTGATTCCAAGAAGGTTTTATTATTTTTTTTTTTTCAACTCAGATAACATTGAAGATAAGTTAAGCCAATTTTCTTCATTAATATTTTTTAGATTACAGTTTTAACTTTTAAAATTATCATTGACTAGTAGGGTGATGCTCTTTACACTGTGCACTGTTTAGCACCGTGCCAATATCATTCAGAAATCACGTTAAAAACTCTCGGTTACATATTTCGGGTTTTCAGTTTATGGATGCGCTATACATTTTGGCTACAATAAAATAGTTTATATTTTCTGTGAATTTTAAATAATTTTGAGTTTACTTGCATAAGCCTGGACAGGAATTCTATAGTTATAATTTCTTTCCTCAGGAAGGCAAGGATATAGCGATGCAACCCTGATGGCTGTAGGTCATCGATTGTTAAAACCTTTATAAGGTTCACATAACTTTAAACATTGTCAAGTTTATTTAAATAAACAAAACGAATTAAGCAAATAAATTTTTTTTCTTAGTAGCTTCCGACATCTCATTTTAACATACAAAGTGCAATGCAGAACAATGCGGTCTATATTTAAAGATAAAAATAAGTACTCTTAAATGTTGCTCACCATTTTACATTTCACTAGCAAGGAGTGTGGGTAATATTTCCGTTGCTGTGTGATAAATTCATTTTGTACTGAAGCATTTTGTGCATAAATTTACATGTGACGACGGAAGTTATGACACTGTTGCGCCCGGGCTTGGTCTACGGCCCCAGCATTTTTCTTCTCTCAGAAGACCACACAAGAGCCTAGCACCAGGTACACCGCCAGCTCCGTCTCTTGGCCTCAATATGAAACTTAGCACAAGCCATAAGGACGACTATGTGAGCTCTTTAGCTAGCACATATGTACATATATGAAATTTAGGTTATATCGGTGTAGCCCAACTATAATGAGGTGCACCAGACGAAAGGGCGTGAATGCACTTTAATCCAGACCCAAATAGACTTAACTGTAGTGAGGTCAGAGGAACATACATCCGTACTTAGTGGTAATATTCATTAACACGATTCCTCAAATATAACTATTCAAGCGATCCGATGAGAGAGACCTCGCAAACTGCTTTCTTTCCGTATCAGAAATTCATAATTAGCTTTTCTTCAGTTAATAATGTTAACGCCTGAATGGCCTACTTTTGAACACAATATATAGATCACAATATATCACACAACGTAGATCAAGTAAAAATTTATATTATTAAGTAGTTGCCATATTTTTTATATTTCTAAGTGTTTTTTCTTTTTTTACAGAATAATTTAGTCAATGACGTAAGTAATAAAACCATAAAACTTTTTGTTTAGCATTCCCGCATATGTTAAATACTGCTGTACCCCTGCGTACACTACCATATTCTAAATTCTGTCTGTCTGTCCCTTTCTTCACAATATTGACTGAAACCTGATAGACCTTTTGACTACTCTTACTACTTCATATATGTACATATATTCGTAGCTACTATGGAATCGATCGATAGAGACGAACTAGCAATATATATATTGTTTCAGAATTTTGGTTTTAATATTTTTAAGCTGCCATAGAAGCGATCATTAAATATAGAAGAAAACGATGGAAATACAATATGTGTAGATAAATGTTAAAACAGAATTTTTATTATAAATATTTATAGAATACCTGTTGGTTTTTCGCTTGATAAAGTTGGATTAATCCTTCATTATGATGCACAATTATATCTACTTAGTTAGCAGTCTTTTTTTTTTTTTTTCAATTTTAGTTCCACCCTGAGATTATAAGGATCAAGATAAATTTGATCAAAGCCTATTTATTCTGATATCTAAAATTATAGTTCAGTTTATAATTTAATTATTACTTATTACTAACCAACACTAATATCTTTGAAAAAATGTAGAAATGGGTCAACCATTTTTATTGACTGAATGCAATTAATAATGCAACCGCAACTGGATGTACATATGTATGTAATCCGAACAGTGCAGGCAAAAGGTGTCCCCAACGCAATAGCACAATTATAGTAAATAAAGTTTTTAATTTTTTTGTTTTATTACAATATTTATTAAAAAAAAAATGAACTTACTTTTTGTATTAAAAAAGAAGAACTAACCGACGTGTATGCATTTTTTCAATATATATATTATATGATTATGTGAACAGTTGTACACCGTAAACCAAGTCCTTTTTTAATGGTAAACGGACATTCAGAAATAAATGTTCCACAAATATTGTGTTATTATGGCATTTTAATTAATGAGCTCAAGTTTTTGATAAATTGACCGTTCGTTCCTTCTTAGAACTCTGGCCTACTTGTAAAACTAGCTAGTTCTTATCTCCCACATATGTACATAAGCGGCGACACGACTGCGTCAACACAAATTCCATTAATGTCGGAGGACATTTGCATTAGCGATAACTTGCAACCCGCTCCCGTCTAAGCATAATGCTGACAGGGATTTTATAGGGACAGCCCGTCCTGGTGGGCAAACGGGCTGCGACAAATGGCAGAATATTTCGTTGGCGCTTATCGATTTTTTCGCCTTCGTTCAGTACCCACCCTCATGCCTTGTTGGCAGCCTGCTGCCCTTTGTTTTGCTTTGTTGCTGTTCGCATTCCTTGGATTTCGCTGGAGAGGTTTTTGGGCAAATGGAATCCCAACCAGCCACAAGTTGCAACCGCCATAGGACAGATAGCCGGATAACTTGCCGCAGAGCAAACTTACCTCGACGGCGCTGTCGCTTCCCAAACCGCAGATTTTTCTCTTGCCCAGGAACTCTAACGGCTCCAGGTGCTGTCTACGTGCCGCCGACTCGCTAGTTAAGATGACAGTCTCTGTCTCCGGGGGCGCGGCTACATCATTTATTTCCAGGTCGATGTCGGCCGTGTCCGGCAGCAGGTCCAAATCGTTGTGAAAACTCAGATCGAGGTCTTGGGGCAACTTGGAGTACTTATTGTGGTTTTTCATTGTTGCAGTCTGGCATGAGTCATGTGGCCGGGGCCGCGCGGGTCAACGGAGACGACTGCCAAACCAAAACAAAAATAATCACACTGACACAATCGATTTTTTCGCCTCGCTTTGCCGCGTCAACAGCGGTCCGGACCACTAAACATGGCTTTCGACACAACACAGTGCGAGTTTCTTCTTGTTCGCATATCTGTCGCTTCAGGATCCGATTTATCGATACCCCACTCTTTTCATACCTTTATACAAAATCAAGCTTATTGTGAACACAGTCCTTGGTTTCAAGTTCGACTAAGAATCTAGCAAAGTCCCAACCCATTTTATGTCTAAAATGGTATGTGTTTACCGAAACGCCCTGTCAAATACGTTGCATTTTTCGTTACTACTCTGAATTCTTATTCGAAATGTCTCGAATCGCTATTATTGATAATACATTAAAATTATTATAAATCTCTACTGTATATAATATATAAATGTAAAATACCTATTATAACATAATTTTTAATAGATTCTCAATTTGTCGTCATTTTTTGTATTTTCTCTCCGACATTGTTGGCTTATTGATTTGTTTTTAAGTAAAAATAAATAGATTTTATAGTTTATTTTAATTACATTCTTACCTTATAAAAACTTAAAAAGTCGACAAAAAACAATAAAGTTTTCAACAAATGTAAAAACATCGATATCTTTATGGCAACACATCCCCGGAAACAGTTATGGCTTCAATTTAAGAATATTTTTGTGCGAATTACTTTTATTTAAAATAATTCAATTTAGAATCAGGAGTGCCCATAGCAAGTTCAAAAATATTTTTAGAAAATTGTGGATCTCCGATAGGGTTCGCTGCGGGTATACTAAGCATGTCCTAAAGTATATATATATAAATATATTTAGAATATTTTTCTAAAGTCATTCTTTGTGTTTTTATAAATCAAAACTTTATAACGTTTTAAAAAAGAAATATACGGTACGATCGTAACATATGTATTCGTTTCCCGAAAGGTTAATAATTGAGCTGCAAACTCAAGCTTCCTACTATTTTTTTTTTTCCAAGACTATATTTCCATCAGGTCCTCTCCAAGGCTAGTTGGGTTAAGTCTTCAGGATGATATATGGAAGTCGTTTCCGACCCTACAAAGTATAATATATATAATATAATATATGTATAAGTATGTACATATCTACATTCTTTATCAGCATCAACATGCAAGTCCCCCTCACCAAATCCGTCTTTCCATTATTTGCCTCCAAGTCATAAACCATAAAGGGCACTAAAATATACCGGCCATTCTTCTCACTGTTAAGTGTTATCAAGATAGATAGATATCTAACATAACATCTTTTAATGCCTTAGCCCTTAATATAAAGCCAATTTCTTCGATCAAGCATAGAATATGTAAGGACGATGTTTATTTTAAATTAAGTTGAATAAGATTTGAGGAGAGTTCGACTGTGAGAGACCCGCACCCATCAGAAACTAAAAATCAAAAGACATAACAATTCTTTTTATGCTTATGAGATGTTTTTCGTACATTTGTTTATTCGTAAGCAGTTTTGAATCAAATATGTTGTATTTAGTTTCTTTATAGTAAATATCATTTATGATTTCCTCCGTAATCGCACAACGTTAATAGTGAAAAATCACTACTCGCAGCAAACGTACGATTTTTGTTCTTGTTGCACCCCTACACATTTATACTCTTCATTATTCGAACGTGTTTTTGCTCAGCGACTGCTAACTTGGTGTTATGTGTTACTGATGCAAAAAAGCCTCGGGACTAATGCATCCTAATATCCGTCGAAATATACCCGGATGAATATGATTATTGGGGAGCATTAAAAATATTTCATTTAGCTATAAAATTGTGTACATATAAATATAAATATAAATACTGGTCACTTACGAATACCGCGCACCCGGGCGGCGTTGTCAAACGTTTTTGAACATAAATTATGACATTAAAAATGTTTTTGCAATACAAAAGTTACACATTAACAATTAGTTAGCTTGCGTTAGCTGCTTAAAATAAAATGCTTTAAGTACATTCGTTCTCTGCCACCATTAGCAAACTAGTCTAATAAAATAATTTAAAATACTGGCAACATTTTGAAGATCGGTATTCTGGAACCTGCCATTAGCAAGAAGTCTGGAAACAAAAACACTTAGTAAGCCAGATTATTGGCAATATATGTATATGACTTTAGCTTCAAAAGCTTTTCTTTTGCAGGAAAGAGCCAAGCACTAGGAAGTGCTTTCCGATTTGTCGCCTCAATTTTGTTCTTATCTCTAGCATCAACTTACGCTAACGAATTCCGACCGGTCTAACAGTCTCACGAATCTAATTGAAAAATAATCATGGCAAGCACTTAAGCGTAGCTTAGTCAACCATCTAAATGGTGGTTACTGTGATTGGAGTTGCTGTTCTTGCAGCTGTTGCAGCAGCTGCTGTTTTGTCTCCGCCTTTACCGTCTTGTAGCGGTCCTTCTCCTCCGTATTTTCAGGCGGCTCACATTCAAAGGAGGCCATCGACAGTGTGTTCTCATTAAGCACTGCGCTGTGCTGCAGATAGGCAATGACGTTCGCCAGCTTCTCAAAGGGACAACTAACCTTCTTCCACTCGTTGAACTCCATCACTTGCTTAGCTAGCTGAGAACACTTCTCGAAGTTGATATGATTGTTGGGCAGACTGCTTGCAGTAAAAATTTCAGGTATATAAGTAAATCTTAGTTAATCATAAGGAACTGCCACAACTACTCACCGATTTGAACAGCCCTCATTCAAAAAGTACAGATCCTTTACAAATAAACTAAAAAATGGAATGATTATTCGTTCGCGCTCCTCTGTGGCCCCCTCAGATCGCCACATGGCAGCTTTGAGCGTGGAGCGATAGCTGTTAAAGTTTGATGTTGGATCCATTTGATGTTCCAGCACGGAGAACTTGGCTGATTGAACTTTGGCCCACTGCCGAAGAGGATTGAAAAGATAGTAAATTAATACTTAAGTCGTAATATATGTATGTATATAGTGTCGGTGCATAACATACCGTCTTCTTGAGTCTGCCTATGGGCGCCAGATTTAGACCAGCTATTATGGCCATCAGACTATTGAAGTTGCCAATGTTGAAGCACTCTCGAGCTGTCTCAATCCAATACTCGATGACCCGCACACGCTGTTTCTTCTTCGGATACTGAAGGGAACGCAAAAAAGACAACAAATTAATATATATACATATTTGATCCCAGTTAACCTACCTTTACCACCTCTGTAGCCGTTAGGTAGCTGAGTCGATTGAACCACTGCACATACGACTCCAAGTTGCGTGTCTTTTTCATGTCGTTTAACGATCCGCCACAACTCCCACTACCCTTACTTCTGTTGCCATCCTTAACACTGTCGTTGCCCTGCGACTGGTAATCCTTAGCGAAGGCTTGAACAAACTCCTCTGGGCCGATGTGCGACAAGCGCTCTAGCTCAATGGCCGTCAATTGGTGCGCCAGTTGGGCGCAGCTTGGACACATGTCCATAATGCCAAAAACTTCGTCAGGCTGAGGCGTTGTGGAGTTAGAGTTCGAAGCAGAGGATGCAGAGGTATGAGCGCTAGATGACGGATGGGAGGTGCCGCTGATCGGCACGCTTCCAGACCCGTTTGCATGAGATGAATTGCCCAGAAAAGACTGGAAGGCATTTTGCAAGTGATGATGGTGGTTATGGTGGAGCTGTGGATGCTGCAACTGCTGTTGCTGACTTGCCGCTTCCTCAGAGCTAAGAGTTTGCAAAAACTCCTCGTACTGTTCGAGGGCTGTCAGTCGGGAGACGAGGAGCTGCAGGATTCGAGACACCTGCTTGCCTAGGGAGTTGTCAATGTAGACACACTTTCTTGCCAAGATCCGCACCTGTTGCATCAGCCGCTCATCTCTAAAGTCATAAGGAAAGATCTCTATCCATTCTGAAAGAAGTCGAATGCAATGCTGGGCGGAACGTTGCACGTTGGTTCTTTGCTGTGGTCGCGGCTCCAGTTCGGAACTAGGCCCGGCCGTTAGCGCAGACCCCTTTCGCTGTGTCAGTGGCGACGCTGAGTTTATGCTAAGAAGTTGCTGGCGTCCGGGTATCTGTCCAACGTCGTCCACCACATCGCTGCCGACCCCCACGTCCTGCTGTTGCTGCTCCCAGGTATTCGAAATCTGAGCCAATAATTCGTGGGGTCGTACGAACAGCCGTGCGCTGAGAAGAAATGCAAAAACAAAGCCCTTGTCCGGATAGTACTCATGGGTTGGCACCATGTGGGCGATCAGCGACTCCAACTGACCCGAATGAAGCCGGCCTTCACAGTAGACCAGGTGCCCCTCCTTAGGCGACTTGTCCAAGGACCGGCTCTGGGCAGCCGCATAGCTATAGGGCTTCTCTGGAGATTTTTCCGGTTGCACTCTGCGGCGAAGGGTGGAGAGCGATTCGTGTGCTTGGCAGGCACTGTTGCTCCTCTGGGTCTTTAGCTCCGGCAATGCTTTGTGTGTAATTGACGTGGATGTAATGACTTCCGCTGCTCCAATCTCCGGTCCAGCAGTTCGGTCCTGCCTGTTAAAGTTGAGATTGATGTTCGCACTGCCGGTACTGCCGCTGCGCCCATTTGTGGCATTACTGAGTCCACCGTTGCTAGACGACATCTGGCCACAGTCTCTCAATTCTCTAGGCCTGGCTATTAGCGTTCTGGTCGTGCCGGGAACACATCTGGGATCCAAGAGCAGAGCTGTAACAATGAAAAACGGAGGCGATCCATTAAATAGGGAAGCTAGGAAGCAATATACTATACAATACTAATACAAGCTCAAAAAGCTGGAAGAAATAACTAGGCCAAAAATTGTTTAAGGCTTATCACACACCCGCCTTTCAAAAAACAATCAGGAATATAAAAAAATCGTTCATTATAATAGCAAGATAAATTACGCAAGTATGCAAGCATCTTTGAATATTTAAAATGTTGAGCCTCCCACAACCACAAAGTTAAGACCACAGCAAGTGCGTTGTGTACGTACATATGTATCTAAAATGAATTTGAATAATAACTTTTGCTGAAAACAATAAAACAAAGGTAGGAAAATAATTAATTTTTACTTTATCTATAGAGGCATCTACATATTTTAAAAAAGTCAAAGTAATTACAAAAATATAATACAAATTCGGTTTTTTGGTTCCTTTAAAACTTTTTCGATATTTGAATTCAAGCGAACTATTGGTATATATTGAATTTTCTCTGAAAATACCTTAAAATTAGACTGCTTTGGTCAAACATTTTAGCAGTTTTACTTGAAACTCATCGCCGTTTTGTGAGCTAAAAATTGAACTTAAAGAACAGCCGTTAAAGGGCTACTTTTGTAACACCAGGCATACTATGTCAAAAATGTCTATTCCATATAGCTGAAAATGGAACGATCGGAAAATTGTTGGAAAAAAAATATTTTTTCCAGTTTTCAACAAATTAAATTTGAGATATTGCTATTTTGTATTAGTCTACAATTCCGTTTTAAATTTATGAAAATCGGGAAACAATATCATATAGCTCTTAAATTGTATTTATTATTAATGATCGAATTGCAATGTACAAGGGTATGCAAACTTCTGGGTGCCGAAGTTAACTTCTTTTCTTGTTAAAATTTTAACTGCGAGAAAACATCTGATTTAGGAACAGTGACCTAGCTTTAAAGCCAGAACCACAAAGAAAATGGGTTTAAGTTGCAACTTTACAGCTTTTAACCTGCGTTAAATTTTGTTCTTTTATTTTTATAATCAAATTTTTGATTTTCACAAGTTGCCGTACTTACTTTTTTGGGAACAGTAAAAATTCAAGGCATAAAGAAGAAGACAACCGAGAAATATAAACTAACAGAATTTCAAGCCCACACTTTTAATTTTCTTGCCCCCTGGCACGATTACAGGCGACGATAACATCATTTATTTAAGGGGATAGGGTCAAATATTACGAAAAAAAACCTTGTTTTTGTGTTTTTTTCCCTGATGACACAAATAAAATGTATTTACTAGTACATTAAAGTATGACATTTGAAGAATGTCTTATAAAATCTTTACAAAGAAATATTCAAAAATATGGTAGCAATTTTCCGTGTTTTGAAAAAAGTTAATTCCGGTTATTTTTTAATTCCAATTTTGAATTTATTTGGAAGACTTAAAAGTGAAAAACACAATTTTTTGTGAAAAAAAATCGGCTACAACGTGAGTTGTGGGAAAAACGCTTTAAAGTTTTAAACACAAAATAATGCAGTGTAAAACGAAAATCCGGCAGGAATAAAAATACTCATAACTTCGTCAATTTTGCTGTAATTGACTTGAAATTTTGACACAATATTCTTCAGATATTATATTATTATTTTTCAATTTCTATTATTAATCTTCGATTATATTAAAAACTATTTTTTTCAATTTGTATTATTATTATTATTATTATTTACAATTATTATTATTATTATACAATTCTTTTATACAATTCAATTTTTACCCCCCACCCTAATGGAGGCCGATACAGATCGATTTTTAAATATTCATCAAAAATGTTAAACAACCTCAGCAATAATAAAATTAAAGTCTATATTTAACACACTTACAGTATTTGTATAATAATGGCAAGCAACAACAATCGAGGGGAATGCACTGTCCATAAAAGCTAAAAACAACAACGAAAACAAGCGCGAGCGGAGCACCATAATTTGTACACAAAATGCCAAGAAGCAAAAAAGGAGAGGCAAGGCCGGTGCACGATGGAACAAATCAGTCAAACATGTGAGAAAGCTAAATTATATTAAATTAAAAGACAAAACACTGTACAAAAACCAAAATAATAAAGAAAAAGGTTAACAACTTTTAGGCAAGAACTGCAAATATTGATATTATTATTTCCCTTATTTTAATTGATAAAATTGAACGTTTATAGTTTTCATACAGGAGAAAGATCTACGTTAAAAAAATATTTAACAAAATAATACAAAAATAATTCTAAAAAAAGGGATATTTAATTATTTGTAGTTCGTGGTTTAAATGAACAAGATATAAATTTTTACCACCAAACCGTGGTCGTATGCCGTAGTGGACAAATCGGTAAATGAATATAGTAAGATTTCCGTTTATTATTGCTAAGCCAGCACAAATTTATCTGCTCCTCTGTGCAAGGTGAGAGAATTACCCCCGACGCATGAGGGAATGCAGGGGGAAAAGCTAAGAGGCCAGCAAAGAATCGACGAGAGAAAGGGGCAAAGAGAAATAGGAGAATGATAGCGAGAAGAGACAAGGCAATAAATGGGACCATGAGCGAAATAGTGCTGGTTTCCACGTTCGAATCGCAGCAGACACGTTGCAGTGGGTAAAAGGAATGTCCAATTGGAACAGACTTCAGTGCTTACCTGCCACAGCTCCCGAACATATTGCAAATATTCAGGGTCCTCCGATCAGCTATCCCGCCTCTCTCTTCCGCAGACTTCAGGACAGGGCAGAGCATACGCCCCGAAAAATCGGTCCAGGTTGCACTTGCCTTGGCGTTGAGGAAATCAGGACAGCGGGGCGGCAATGGCGTCGCTGCTGCGTTGTGGGCGGAGGTTGCAACCGAAAGTAGAACACGTAGCACCAAATGGTGCGGGGGAACGGGTAGCGGAGAATGTTGTGAGGGCGATTCAAAATACGAGAACGGGAAGCATTTCAGCTTCAGCTTTTGGCTTCAGTTCACCACCACCACTTTCGCGCACGCAGGCAAGTTCATACGGGGTGCGCTGTTACCCCTGCAGCAGAGGTTTGGGCCGAAAAGGGACGCAGCAATCACATATGGCCGCCTGCTGGCCAACGAAGAAGTTCAAATAAATGAATATGGCAATTAAGCACTATATCTTTAGACACACGGTGCCTCCGTGCAATTGTCAGACGAAATGCACAGCGACGCTTTTTCCCCGTCCATGTATGTACGTGGGTGCATCGGTGTCTGTGGCTATATACATATACGAGCCGTGACCGGTTTGTTTGCTACGCAGAATTTTTCATGTATCAATAATAGGATACTTTTCCCTCGGAACCTCGAATTTTCATTGCATTTTTAACGCAACGCGCGGCTCGCTAACTAGTTACGCGGTTTTAACTTGGCCGTTTGCGTTTATGGCATTAAATCCCGTTTAATTGGATAGCCTATCCAACGTCGCGTTTTGTTTACTATGGCTGGACTTCACGAACTTAACAACACTGGTAAGAGTGTGACCGCGATTCGATAACGATAATTTATACTCTACTTTTTAAATATACCGAAAAAAATACTAAGAAGACAATGGAACGGTTCAACAGAACCGGATCAGTGACCGGTGACTTATTATATAACAGACTCAAAATATGGGGTCAAAGAAAACTAATGGAATACATGCCTTGCGACTGGGTGTTTGGTTGAACATTTATCGGTTGACTTTTTTGGGTCGTTCCCAAAATGGCGAAATATATTGCCGACATTCCACTTTTAGTGGGAGTATCCCAAATTTAAATCAGCTGTCTGCGCCATTCACATGTCGTCAAAAAATGTGTTACTTTCAATATGTAATACTAAATGGAAAATATTTATGTGACTATAATTTGTAATGGAATGTTTTTTATGGTTTTGTACCTGTTTCCGTGCAAAGATTCAAATTCTGCGGTCGGTGCGCCAAATAATAGATGCCTTTGCCTGTGTTGCAACATGACGTATCGTCTAACACCGCTAACCAACACTGCATAAGTAAGCCCAAGTGAAAAGCGAAAATAACTCGGTTGGAAGAGAGAAAGTAAACACCGTATGCACAGAATCAGCAGGTCAGCAATAGCCAGCTAGGACATTGACGCACCGCCCAAGCAGGAAAACACCAGGGCAGGCAATCACGACCTCAAAAACAGCCTAGCGCTTCTCACTCTCCAGAGCGTTCTCAATTAAATGGCAAATGGGAACAACGGCAATGCAAGCGACACGACAACGGCCACCCCACAGCAGCAGCAGGAACAGCGGCTACCACAGAGCGCCCAGCAATCAAACCTGACTGCGGCGACCGAGTCTTTAAAAGAGCCCGCATCCATTACCCTGGGAGTAAACGATCTCGTGGCGGATCTCTGTCTAAACGATCGAAGCAGTGGGGACTTCACGAGTATGCGGACCTCCACGAGCGGCGCAGGCACTGGAGCTGCCTCTACGTCTTCGTTTTCCTTTAAGCACTTTCTAAGCAACACAGGCACTGTGACCGCTCCTTCAAGCACGGTGACTTCAGTGGATGCGTCAGCAGCGGTGCAGACATCCACCGGCGCCCGGCCCAAAGTGCCTCAATCAGCGTCCGCCTCCCACATGCAGCCCCCTGATGTAAATGGAAGCAACTCCTCATCAAAAATGAAGCGCTCGCCGCGCTTCAGCTCTTTCGACTCGCAGGCGAGTCTGGCTGAATTTGCGGCTTGCGGAGGAGGATCCCAACACCGTTTGCGACCTGACCAACGGTTGGGAGTGGGTCATGGAGTGTTACACGCAGCCCTCGACAACGACGACGATGACGACCACGTGACACTAGCGCAGGTGCGCAACAGCAGGCTTTATGACGAACGGATAGATGACGGTAAGTCTGAATGCGTTAATCTTCGACTATATTAAAAACGACTTGTTCTTTCGAAGACATTTTCCCATCGGCCGCATCCAACCTTCAGCCCGCTGCTGGGACACGATATGTACCGCGCTCCTACTCTAGCTATGAGATGCCGCAAGTTTCATGTCCCACCTCCTCGCCACGGCGCCGGCCGTCTGGAAACAGAGACCAGCGCCCCAACCGGCTGGTTCTATCTAGCGGGTCCAAAATGAAACTGGATCTGCCATTAGATGCGGCAAATGCGACAGGTGTGGGAGCTAGTGGAGGCGCTGGGACTGCAGCTACTCTGCCTGACTTTGTGCAGGATCATCTGCCGGATGCTTGGTGTGTTGGCCAGGACGCGCAGCTAAGCTCTCCCCCAAACACCCCCTTAGGCGCTGCGCAGGCACCGAGTGCCGCGGCGTGTCTCCTGCCATCCGCCCTCGCGTCTATGGGTTTACCCAGTGCTGTCGCCCTCCCAGGTCCGCTCGGAGAGCCGCCCACTGGCCCCACCGTCAAAGTGCTGCCTGATTTCCTGTCCGATGGATCCATAATTCATTCGTCCCAACGCCTAGCTGATGTAGCTATTGGGCTGCCCTCCAACGCCATTGACTCGCCGCCCCAGGACGTAGGCGGAACTCTGTGTGCATTGCGTCAGGAGAACGATCGTTTGCAGCGCGAGCTGCAGGATGCACGCATAGAGCTAAATGCGCAGGCCAGAAGGGCTAGTGAGTTTGAGCAGCAATTGGTTCAACTCCAAGAGGCCACAGAGCGACGGGAAGCACTGGCCTTGGCAACTAACACGCAGACTACACAGCGCCTAAGGCTCCAAATAGCCCAATTGGAGGTGAGTTTGGGAGAAAAACCAACTAAGAACCACCATATTTTTAAAGTCTTTTGAGATCAAAGAATCCAATTTTAAATGTCCACACAATTCTTTCTATACTATAAGAATTTGGCGGTAAATATGTATCACCAAAAGGTGTGAACCAATTTAGCTAAATAGCTTGAACTACAAAAAAATATATAAAGAGATTTTAAATAAATTTAATATTGTTATTGGAATCAGCAAATTGTATAAAATTTTAATAGTTGGCGTAATGAAAATTTAATATAAACTTAATTTTTATAGTTCAAATCCTTAAGTGGCCTTTAAAATTGTTCCTCATACGGACGTAATATCGGTGATGTTCAAAAATTTATGCATACTACCAATGTATAAAATATTTTGATAATTACCTTTTATAAGTCAACTCTTTTAAGCTGCAGATATGTAAATCTTTTAATAGGTAGACAATAATGTATATATCGAAAATCGTTCTCCGTGATTTTTATATACACTTTCGGTACCATTGCAATGCTTTGCTAATTATTTAATGTCTTACAGGCCGAACTTATTACCCTACGAAGCGGTGGCAGCTTTGATGGTGCTGCTGGAGGGGTTCCGTCAGCCAACTCTGGCAGTGCAGCCAATAGCGGCACTAGCTCTGCGCGATCGTCTAGAGCGCATCAGCTATCAAGGGATCTTCTGCGGGCAGCCGACACGGCGGAGCAGAATCTTAGGTGAGCAGTAATAAAATGTGGAATAAGAATTTTTGAATTCATTTTTATTTCCTCGCAGGCAACTGCTGACTGGCGTGGAAAACCTGCGCCAGATGGCGGCAAATCTGGAGCATCCGATACAGCCAACGACAGCACCACGGAGTCCAGATCTGTACAGCGATTCCAACTGAATGCCCGAAGTGAACTCTTGAATTAAGATCGGTTATTGTTGTTTGTGTAATCATTGTGCTAGAGCTTGTTTTTAGCGGGCTCGTGTCCATACAAATATATTCTGTTGCATTGGACTGAAAAATGCTGGGCGGAAGGACAATGTTAAGAATCAAAGCGCAAATTCGTGATGTTGGTTAATAAGGATAAAAATATATAATAATTACTTGATGATATTCGAGAAGCCTGCTGAATATTTACGGGTAAATAACGCCACAATACTCAGCCACTGCAACAGAAAACAAATAACGCACTGAGTCCAGAATTGACAGATCGGCGAACCGATAAACGCATATATATTTTTTGTTATAAACGATGGATTACCTGTGCACTTCAGTAGTTTGTGTTGCAGTATATAGCAAACCAGGATTAAAATAAAACTTTAGAAGATAATCTACTGGCTGCCGCCTGCATGGTCGTCCTTTCTAAGCGTTTCCCCATGCCAGTGGGTAAACTAACATGCGCTTTCACACAGCCTTGACTTTGCCCTCCCACCTGATAACGTCTCCCGTAAGCTTTTTCCATAGGCAGAGCTTTCCTTGTCGGTCGAGTGCCGGCGTGTTCTGCGACCAGTTGCTTCGTAAACGTTGTTACGCGCGGACGCAGTTTAGCCTTCCTGCGTGTGAGATCGGTATCGATATCTTAGTTCGTTCATCAACAGTTTAAGCCAAACAAAGAATTGTAAATTAATTGGAGAGACCGAAATTACAAAGGAAATTGGAATTTAAAATGATGCCCAACCGGATTTTAGGTGAGTTAACTGGATGAGCACAAGAAGAAGGCACATTTCTGCATCCCTGACGTCAGCTTTTTTCTTTATCCACCGTTGACCTCTTATCTCTGGATGATTCTGAATGATTCTTCCTCGGCTACACATCCGTCCCCTCATCAACTCTAATAATTAGGATAAATATTGTTATAAAATTTGCCTGATTATTACTCGCAAATATGAGAATATAGCGTGAGATTGACAACACTGAGAAACATTATGCACTTAGTAAATATAAGTATAAATATATACATATATGTAAATCAGAGCAGTATGGTTTTATTAGTATTGTGTAGTGTGACCACCTGGACCACTATGGATCAAACCTAGTACATATACCCCCTGATAAGGCAGTTGATAATTTAGCAGGTGTCGATAAAGATTTCGGGTCGTAAGCGCACTGGAAATTCAAGTGGCCTAGGCTGTCAGCAGGGGCACTGTTCTTATCTGCTGGAATGGGGACCAGAAGTTCTCCTATAAATAGCGTATTTCATTTAATACAATAAGCTCTTAACTTAACTCGGAAATCTTAACGTACGCCCCGCATCAGTCACATATATGTACATAAATATAAAATTAAGCTACTTATTCAGATTAAATATCAATTTTGAAGATAAAGTTATATGTAAACCTGCATCTTAAAACCAGTAGTTTGGTCTTATATTTATTTGTGAAGGAATCACCTCCGACCATATAAAGTATATATATTCTTGATCAGGATCAAAAGCCGAGTCGATCTAGCCATGTCCGACTGCCCGTTTCTACGCAAACTAGTTTCTCAGTTTTTACGCTCTCTGAATGAAACTTTGCAATTAGTCTTCTATATACTCTCGGGCCAGATCAGACTACTATATCATATAGCTACCATAGGAACGATCGGAAAATGTTTACAAAAATAAATTTAACATTTTCATTTTTCAACAGAATTTTATAAAATTTGAGATATTGAGCCATTATATTATTCTATAATTTTGTGAACAATTTTATATATAGAGGAAAATGCAAAACTATGAATGTAAAACTGTAAATATAATGTATTTAGGTGAATGAAATGAAAGCAGGCATTACTTAGATGTTTTTTAACATAAATAAATATAATTTATATTGTATTAATTCCAAGTGATCAATGTTCTATCTGAAAGGGTTTAAAACTTCGGCGTGCAAAGTTAGCTTCCTTTCTTGTTTTATTTTATTCTTAAAAATCTATTAAGTAAATCTAAAAAGTAAAATGTAAATTTCTATTAGACTATTGAGCATTTTAGGCTGTAATCGCCAATTTAGTTAAAAATTATCCAAGTTTAATAAAACGTCAACATGAACATTCTATTTGTAGGCTATTAACTTTGTCAGCGAAAGGGATGCAAATTTTACGAATTCATGAAAATAGCTTGCTTATGGCAATTCAAATGTGCTTAAGCATCTTTTTATTATGGGCTATTTCGTATATGTATGTATGTTTTATATTTTGTGGCAGTCAATTCAGAAAATGTTAAGAGTCCGGTTGCTACATTTTTATTCATTTTTATTTTGTTCTAGTATTTTATGTGCAATTAGTTTAATTAGCTTATAATCAGGATGTGAATCAGTATTTAACGCTTTATTCGAAGTTTATTAAAAAACAGCATTATTCTCAGTATTCAATCCTACTCCTATGGCATCGGGATGTAAATAAATTTTTTTTTTTCAGTGCTATTTAAACACAATACTTGCTTTTAGTTTCTTTTCGTGTGTGTTTATTTTTGTACAACCTCGCACTTGCATTCGCCAGACCAATGGCCCATAGCAGTTAATTTCCATTCCGCTTAATTTGCGAGTATATTTGCATAAAGTGTGCGCTTTTCAAAACACCCTGTAATACATAATACATAAACACGTAATCCATAGGAGAGAAGTGCAAAGCCAATGTATAAGAAATTATTTTGAGATTCCTCTGTAATTTTAAATTTATACTTATTATTTTTAGCGCATACTAAGCGGGTCCTCCTGCGATCCACAACCAGCCAGAGCTGGAGCTCCAAAGGCTTGAGCTCGAAGGCGGCTCCAGTCACGGTGAACGACGGCCAGATCCGAATGCCTGAGTGTCATCATAATCAGGCCGCATATGACGGCCCCAGCTACCAGAAAATACTCGAAACGCGTCGCACCCATCTCACGCCCAATTTGCTGGCGCACTTTAAGAAACCTCTCGTCATCCATGCGGGACATATGCAATGGCTGTACGACCACGAGGGACGACGCTATCTGGACATGTTCGGCGGAATAGTCACTGTGTCCGTGGGACATTGTCACCCGTAAGCAACATAAGCAAGCAAGAATGCTATGGTCGAAGATTCGAGTTGTACTTGGAAGGTGTGTGAATATATGTACATACATAGTTTGAAGATCAACGTTGGGGATTGTGATATCAGATAAAGCTATATTGCCTTGCAAAGAAAACAAATAGTTTTGAAGGGAAGACAAACTTATTATTCTTTTCATATGAAACCATTCTGAGGATTCGAAAAACCAGTAGACTAAGTATTAGCTCAATAAACAATGAGAATGAACAAGTGAATTGTTTAATCATATGAACTGAATTATCTCTTAATGAAGTATGGTAAAATGATCCAATGCTAGAATTTTTAATTTTGTCGTTAACGAATCACACTCCGTCCAGCACAATAGACTAAAGCTTTCTTACCCAAATATTTTCATTGAATAAGAACTGATTTAATGATTACTTTAGAGTTTCCTTTCGTCTTCACCCCTTTTATTCCGACACAGAAAGGTAAATCAGGCATTGAGCGAACAGATCGCCAAGTTATGGCACACAACGAACATATACATGCATCCCAAGATCCACGAGTACGCCGAGCGATTGGTGGCGAAATTCCCTGGCAACCTGAAAAGCGTATGCTTTGTGAACTCCGGATCGGAGGCCAATGATCTGGCAATGCTAATGGCGCGCCTGCATACAGGGAACCAGGACATTCTCTCCTTCCGCAATGCCTACCACGGCATGTCGCCGTACACGATGGGTCTCACGGCACACTCTACGTGGCGCTTCCCGCTGCCAGGAGTCAACAACGGACTGGTACATGTGATGAACCCTGACCCCTATCAGGGCATATGGGGCGGTTCAGCATGTCGAGACTCGCCCGTGCAAACTACTCGCCAGTGTGAGTGCCAGGAAAGCTGCCACGCGGGCGACGCCTACTACAATGAGCTGGAGCAGACCTTCAAGTATTCGCTGCCGCGCGGCAAGGTGGCAGCCATGTTCGCCGAATCCATTCAAGGCGTGGGTGGCACGGTGCAGTTTCCCAAGGGCTACCTTAAACGGGCCGCCGCCCTAGTGCGCGCAAACGGAGGCCTGTTCGTGGCGGATGAGGTTCAAACGGGATTCGGCCGAACTGGCGAGCACTTTTGGGGTTTCGAGGGTCACGACTATGTGCCAGACATTGTTACCATGGCTAAGGGCATTGGCAATGGCTTTCCCCTGGCCGCTGTTGTCACAACTCCGGAGATCGCTGCATCCCTGGGTCAGGCACTACACTTCAATACGTACGGCGGAAACCCCATGGCCAGTGCCGTCGGCATCGCCGTGTTGGACGTCATTGAGGAGGAACAACTGCAGCGCAACTCCCTAGAGGTCGGGACCTACTTCCTTGAGAGCCTGGCAGAATTGCAGCAGCGATTTGAGATTGTGGGCGATGTGCGGGGCAAGGGCTTGATGATTGGCCTCGAGCTGGTAGGTGATCGCGAGAAGCGCACTCCGCTGGCCACCCCTCATGTGCTGGAAATCTGGGAGACATGCAAGGACCTGGGCGTGCTCTTCGGGCGAGGCGGCCTACATGGCAATGTAAGTAAAAGTCGTTTGTGTGGCTAAGTGCATCCTCATTTGGGCTCTTCTGTCCACGTTCGCGCCCATCTGACTAACAAGCCGATTCCTCTTGTCTCATCCGTGCATCCTTTCGTGCATCTTCACAGGTCCTGCGCATTAAGCCTCCCATGTGCATCAACCGGCAAGACGTGAAGTTCGCGGTTGATGTGCTGGCACGGGCCATCACTGACTCCATGGACAAATATTGAAGTTCCAAATAGAGAATATACGTCGACCAGAGGGAATGAATGTTTATGAATGGTCCCATGCATTTACTAACCAATAAATTCCACCCAACCGTCTGGCTAGATGGTAATCTAGTTACGAAAACTTATTGTTAAATTTCCAAATCATGCACCTGGTTTCCAAAACAAATGGCAACTAATACTACAACTTTTTACCAAATATAAATGTTAATATGTACATATATGAAAAAAACATTATCACCATTCGATCTGCAAGCTTTTAAGTTATTTGAGCAATATGTTGTTATTTTTGAGGGAAATGTATGTATACGTATATTATACGAAAAATCTTAAATATCTTAGTGTATTTCTTATCAATTTTTGTTTTTAATATCCATTTTTTAATTGCAACAAAATTTGATATCCGAAATGAGTTACAGTTGCCATCGTCATCGTTTTATCATATATTGTTTGTGGGGTTTTATATGATATCACATTTTACTTGAAAGACACATGATATAAATCAAAAGATTTGTATTACTATTTTAAAAACCATATATATATTATATAGTCTTCTGATCTGTCCCGTTCTCACAAACGGACAGAAGAACAGACGAAGATCGAATACCATACAAAGGTATTAAAGTTGTTTACATTTTGTGTGACGATTTTAAATATTTATTATCAAAGATTTTTGGGATCATAGCTACGAATTTTGATAAGTAACATCTCAAGAACTCTAATGCTCTTGTTATATACCCAAAAGCTGAGCAAGGGTATACATACATATATACTTTTTCGAGTGGCTATTAAAATTGTTTGAGGGGGTTAAAAAAATTTCAAATAGCATCATGTAATAGAACCAATTTATTGTCGTTGGGCCAATTCAAACTTTTATGTCCTATGACCAATTACCTACCCCTATTAACATCTTTCTCAACGCCCTCTAACACCAAAGGCGTTGACAACCGGTTGCCGGTCGAGAACTGTCTGTTTAAATGTCTGAAACAAGAAAATCTGCATCACGAGGTTATTCCATTTTAGCCATACTTGACCGTCTAGCCCATTATCTCTAATTTTAAATATAATTTCACAATATCAAATATAGTATCGTTAAATGAAGATGGAAATATAACCCGTAAGATAAGAACTATAATACATATAGGATAAATGTAATGAAAGTTGAAATTTGTTTGTTGTTTTTTAACATTTATATTTATGATGTATATTATTTTAAAGGTATACAAACTTCACCGCCCGACAGTTTGCGTCCTTAATTGTTTTAATTTATTATTAAAATTTTTATTTTTATCGTCTAAAAAAAAGATATTTAAAAGTTTCATAAAAAATTATTTATTTATTTAGCTCAGGTTTTTGGTTCTCATATGTGCCTATTAAGGAGATAAACTATAGGTTGAGTTACTCTTTATATAGAGACTGGAGATTTATTTAATACATTGTTTTTTCTTTCTCCTCTGTTAAAAACTATATTACAAGGTGTGCTAGTTAATATATTGTCAGAACCTATCTGGGAACAATCTGAACAATTTTTGGCATTCTCCGAAGTTGTCGGTGGATCCAAGGCATCTCTGAGCGAGTGTTGTAAAATAACACTTATTGTTAAAAAAATTAAATGCTTCCAAAAAATTAATTTTATTTAGTATTCTCTAAAACGTTTTCATCCACAATAAATGCATAAAATCTGCTTTACCATTATAATAAAAAATATTAATAAAAATTAAAAAAGAATAATATTAACAAAAATTATAACAATATGAAAGATATTAATTATATTAGAAATATTAATAGTAACTGTATTAATAATTAAATAATCATAGTAATACAGATAAAATTAGCAATCATTACTAACTTACCTAAAGAACACGATATCATAACTACGATTTATTGAGCAATAACGCATTTTCCAAAGTAATCGGTATCCGCTGCCACCTCTTCCTCCTTAACCAGGTTCTAACCCTTAGACCACCCCTGTGCGTGAATATCGAGAATATGGAACTTGTCTTGGAAACGCTAGATACAGTCTTAAAGCAACACATGACGAAAGGACCTCGCAGTTGGAGAAGTACTAAGAGGACACACTAGGCGAGAGGTACTCCCGAATGTGCATACTAGCCGAATATCAGCCCCTAAAGGAGTGACTTAGTTATAATCATCTTGTTTGTCGTTTTGTCGCCCTATCATACTGTCAGGGCTTGAGTTTTAGATTACAATCCGTAGCTGTGAAAACCGTTTTGTGATGTAGGGTCTGAAGAGCCTTTGAAACTACTTATACTAGCATGTTGTTTGGTATCGTCTTCAGCTTAGAATAAGTTAAATCAAACATCGTCTTAAAGTAATTAATGCACAGATGCAGTCTTGTGTGACTGTTTAGGATTTCCGACATGGCCAATATTGTCTCTACTAGACTTCTATGTCTGTATGCTTGCCGTCACTGTTGTAGTCCAGGGATATAAGCGTCTCAGATAGCTCCTTTCGCGCCTTCTGCACTACCCAGAACATCAGGACCACGCCACAAATGACCTTTAAAATTAACAAGCACATGCGACAATGTTTAGGCTTAAGACACTATATAACAATTAATTGTAAAAGCACAAAAAAATAAATTTCTCAATAGATTAGTATAACAGTATATCTATGTTATGTTTAGACTATGTAGCCATGTTCGTTAGCCACCTTGTTAGTACGTTAAACAAAACAAGAAACGAAGCTATCTTCGGCACGCCGAAGCTTATATACCCTTGCAGATAGAACTTCGATGACTTGGAATCCATAAAATATAAAATATATATACAGTCGAATCCCGATAATTCGTACCCCGCTAAATCGAAAATCGCGATAATTCGTAAAAAATTCTGTCCCCTTGAAAAAAACTCGTTAATTCGTAAAAATTCCATACATTTTGGTCCCCTTGTTAATTCGTATTATTTGGCGCAACGCAATGAATATTAAACGTCTTATAAATCATAATTTTGTTTCGTATCCTCTTATAAATCGTAATGCGATGCGAAATTTTTTGTAGATAAAGCACCGTTAGATTTTGCAGACAGCTATGCCGCCTTTATATCGCTATGCATTATGAATTTTGTGTTTCTCTCGCTGTTTTCTTTTAGATTGCTGATTTTTTTCGGAGAGTAACATCGTTCTGTGAAATTTCACAATAACGTACGCAAAAGACGTTATCAATCGCGCAAAAACAAAGCATTATTTCGGCGATTGATAATGCAACAAAGAAAATTGAGGTGGCAAAACAATTCGATGTCGCTCCATTAACAATAACATCAATTCTACAGAAAAAAGGAGTTTATAATGCAAGCCAATTTTGGAAGAAGTTTTGCCCAACAATTCTGAAAGTGAACAAGCAATCAAAAATTACCAATTATTTTAAAGCTTGACTTTTTGTTTTTTATAATTTAATGTTTCTGCTTAATTGTTTAATTTTTTGTTACTATAATTTTATGTTATTGTTTTATTTTCCTTTAATTTGAAAAAACGTACAAATGAATGTACATACTTATAATGTTTATTTAATTTTAATTCAATTTAATTTTAATTAAAAACCCCGTTTATTCGACTCTTTCATTTTTGAGCCCCGTTAAATAGAAACCTCGATAAATCGAATTCCCGTCTAATTCGTAAAAAAAGTGACCCCCTTGCCATTTCGAATTATCGGGACTCGACTGTATTTAAGTTAAAAAACAATAAAGTAATAACGGAGTTCATTTCATTGACCTATTCATTTTATATTTACAGTTTTACATTCAAAGATTTGCATTTTTCCTCTACATCTAACGGTCGTTTGTATGGCACCTATATGATATAATCGTCATAAAGTTTGACACAAATTTTAAGACTACTATAAAATGGCTATATCTCAAATTTAATCAAATTCTGTTGAAAAGTAAAAATTTATAATTTTTAATTGTATTTATTTCTTGTTCGTTCCTATGGGCGCTAAGGATATAGTCGTCCGATTTTCATAAAATTTTACACAAAATTGTAAAGTAACATAAAATGGCTATATCTCAAATTTGATCAAATTTTGTTGAAAACTAAAAAAATTTATAATTTTTAGTTGTATTAATTTCTCGATCGTTCCTATGGAAGCTATATGATATAGAAGTCCGATTTTCATAAAATTAAAAAAAAAAAAATTGTAGAATAATATAAAACCGCTATAGCTCAAATTTGATAAAAATCTGTTGCAAACTGGAAAAGTTATAATTTTGATTTGTATTAATTTATCGATCGATCCTATGGGAGCTATATGATACAGTAGTCCGATTTTCATAAAACTGAAAATGTTATAATTTTTGTTGTAAAAATGTTTCGATCATTCCTATGGCAGCTGCATCATATAGTCATCCGATCTGGCCCGTTCCGACATATGTATATACGAGTGAGAGTATATAGAAGACTAACTACAAAGTTTCATTCAGATAGCTTAAAAACTGAGAGACTAGCTTGCGTAGAAACGGACAGACGGACAGACGGACATGGCTAGATCGACTCGGCTGTTGACCCTGATCAAGTATATATATTTCTATATAGTCGGAGGGGCCTCCTTCACTGCGTTGCAAACTTCTGACTGAAATTATAATACCCTGCAAGAGTATAAAAAACAACAAAAACTTTATACAAAAATGTTTAAAATCTTTTAGCTGTATCATTTGGCAATTCAATAAACTTTCTATGATATATTCGCTTTATTATTTGAATTTTTATAAAATTCAGACGAGTATTTCTTCCATAGGAACTAAACTTAAGAGACCAGTTTTAAAATAATTTTATGTTAATCGAATATAGATATTTCTGTGATATCAGCTGTATACAACATTCATTGAGACCTAGCGTTAATGATTGAAGGAGTCCAGGCGATCCAACTAAAGGACGTAAAACGAAAGTATAATGGAATTAAGGAGCTAACCCACCTCCAATACAAAGCTGATGTAGCCTGTCAGTTTGGTCTCGTTATCGTTGAGCACTTCGTGCATGGATCTCAGCGTGGAGCCTAGGTACACGTTAATAGTCTGGGCTGGCAGCAAGCCAAGCATTGTAGCCACGTGGTAGTCTTTCGTGCCAACGGAGCTAATCTGAGAGAAATAAGAATCTGTTAAGGATCATTGCAGTATGTTATCGCACATTTGATATATTATAGAATAGTAATTCGAATTTCGTTGTATTAAAATAATTAAATAGTAATGAAAATCTGACGTCTATATTATACATATCAGAGTGTTTATTGGTTTGGGGGCTAATTATTTATTTACTCACTCCGAAAATCAGGTTCTGCAGTCCGAAGGGAATGGGTGTAAGTCGTGTGAAGAGCACTACCTTAAAGGCTTTAGGGCCAGATATTACGCGAAGTATGGCCAGTCCAGTCTTATTTTTAATTAGCCTGAAAGTATGGAAAAAAAATGTGATCAGACTCAATATACCTGTATATCAGATTGTCTGTTCTATAATATTTATATATCACAATCATATCTCACATTAGCCAACGGTAGGTTCACTACCGCCATAAACGGTGGGCACTGTTATCAGTTATCGACAAGTCTAATCAATTAATGACCCTCCTCGATTTATTGATAAATGGTACGTAATTTTAAGCAAAAAATGTTATAACCGAAGACCTTTTAATAACAAAAAGACTAACGCCATACGATTTTTTATACAATTTTTAAAATTTTTGTATTTGGATGGCACAGGCGCTTGAAATATTGTTAAAAATCTAGAGATAGAGCCATACTCTCTTTTGTTCGCAAATCACGTTCTCAACTTTGCGTTAGCATCCATATGGTAATTTAAATGCATGGGTGTTATCCATCTTATTATAAGGTTTTCGCCTTGATAAAAATCATTAGCCGCATTACACTGCAAGTAAACAGTAAAATCCTATATTTAAATATCAAAAGAAATTATTTTGTGTTTGTGCTTGGTGGGGCAAATCGCAGTGAGCACTTCTACACTGAAGTCATCCCGAATATAAAGGGTGTCGCCAAGCTGGCATAGGATACCACGGAACTCAGGGTAAGCCTCACAGCAGTCGTCTGGTATGGAAATGGATAGCCGGAGCGATAAAACGTTCCCGGGGGCAAACGGGTAACCGAGTAACTTTCGACTGGTGTCCCGCCGATCAATGCCCATATGAGAAACGACTACCGGTGTACAGTTGAACTTGCTCGCCGCCCTTACGGTCTCGGCAGGACTCCTTTTGGTATTGGAAAGTATTCGCAACTCCCGGAGGTGTTCGGCTAGAAGGATCAGGTAAGCGGCGTGCAGCTCCAGTGGCGTGCTCACAGCACCACCGTCTCCGGCAGCCTCGACCAGTGCACAGAGATCGCGTCGCATATCTAAGAGTGCACCATACAACATTTTTTGAGGTGGTGTGAAACGGCCTGCGCCTGGCCAGGTTCTGACCAGCCCACCCTGGTAGCCCCCGTATTGGCAACTAGCATCCATATGCCACAGCCCAGTTGCATCTGAACCGCATGCGACCTCGGCTGAGGGCTGCTCCGGGTGAGCATGTCGTCGCCGGGTGTTGTAGTCAAACAGTGTTGCCAGTCTCCGAGGATTACATTGATGTGGTTGAGATGTGTTGTAGGCGATCACTTCTGCCATTGACTCAGCGGCAATAGCATTGGCCCGTCTCAAGGCAGCCAGCTCCCGGTTAGTTTTAAATGTTCGGGTATACTGTAGAATGTATTGGGGGTTGGACAGAGGGATGTTCGCCTCTTCGGATGCCTCGCTTACTATGCGACTAACTTCACTTGATGGCTTCAAGGTGTGCCACAGCTCAGGGGTTTGGTCCTTAAGTAACCAGAACAAGCTCTTTTTCAGCATGTCGAGGGGCAAAACCTCGTCCACATTGTGCATATGGCTGAAAATCCTGGCCAGCTCTGGGTCACTTTTCTCGGATAGAAAGAGCAAAGCGCCAGTTTTTTGCTTCCGACTGTGGTGGAGCACTAGTGCCGATCCTGGCCGCAAGCAGTCGCAGAGGTAGAGAAATTCAGATCGCTGACGAAATGGACAACCCCGAATCAAGTCTGCCCCGGCCACTACGAGAACGTGGGCGAAATTGAGAACCTTGCGGTGCGGCTCCTTGAATTCTGTTTTTGCCTGCATATAGGCGTTGAGGTCGTTTAGTGTCATCGTCCGATGAAGATCGATCTCCTCCGGGACCAGAACTTCATTAGGCATTGGATCGCTGTGCAGGTACTCCGCTACGGTAGCGAACTGGCCGCCTGGAGCATGCCGGGAATATTTCTCAATTAAGACGGGTACTGGAAGTGGGGCAATATCCTTGGCAAACTCTGAGGACAGGACCGTGGGTAACACCAAATGGATATCACTCCGGTGAGCCTCTGCCATTACAGTGCATCCACGGCGCACACCTGCACTTAGGCCTATACACTTTAAATTTCTTATGGAACGTAGCATTGAGGAATTGTAGGAGCGAGTTTTCGGGATGAACGGGGATTGTGTAGGTACTAGAAACTAGGAAACTGTGTGACGGTGACTATTACACGAAGGGCTACTCTACATGAATCGTCTTAACTGTGACAGATCAATTACAAAAATGATAGATTCGAGTATCGTCCTGCTTGTAACATATCAATACAAAAATGAGAGTATCTAATTTTAAAGTTTGAGTCTCAAGGCAAGCCCTGTGTAAATTTATTCCCTTGCAGGGTTTTATAATTTCAGTGAGAAGTTTGCAGTGAAGGAAACTTTTCTGACCCTATAAAGTATGTACCTATATTCTTGATCAGCATCAACAGCCGAGTCGATTTATTCATGTCCGTATGTCCGTTTCTACGCAAACAAGTCTCTCAGTTTTACAGCTATCTGAATGAAACTTTACTTTTACTCGTATGTGTCGGAACAGACCGGATCGGACGACTATATCACCTAGCTGTCATAGAAACGATTGGAAAATTTTTAGAAAAAAATGTCGACTTTTCCAATTTTCAACAGATTTGCATCTAATTTAAGATTTATCCAATTTGTATTATTCTAATATTTTAGTTTTAGTATTATGAAAAAACGGACGTCTATATCATAAAGCTGAAATACAAACGATCGTTAAATATAAAGAAAAACGCAAAACTATGAATGAATTACTGTAACTGTAAATATAGTATGTTTAGGTAACTGTAGTGAAAAAAGCAATACTTTATTGTTTTTTGATCTTAGTTATCTGCAAGGGTGTAAAAACTTCGGCGGGCCGAAATTAGTGTGTTTAAGGTCTAATTAAGAAAGAATTATGCATTTCGTAAAAAAATGAAACTAACTTGGAGGGTCGAAGTTTAATGCCGTCAGTATGCTAATTAAGCTCAACGATATGCACAAAATAAATATTTTTTAAACATTTTCAAATCCATTTCATTTTTAAATTACCGATCACTTCTATAATAATGGGTTCTACAAATTTACCCTATTCATACCTTGTCCAGCTTCAATTCAAACTTTCGATACCCAACATTTTAGTTGATTTGTACCATATGCTTGATAAAATGTGTCCTTCATAAATCTTCTTGGATTTAGCACTTTTCATTTAAATCGTTCAATAAAATTTTGCAAAGACTATCTATATTACGAGTAAAGCACAACTAACCAAATTGTTAAATATTTTTGCTAAAGTTAATTTAAATGTGGCAGGATTTTAAAACTTTAGGCAATCAGAAAATTACAAGTTTTGAATGAAATCTAAAAAAAAAAACGATCTAATTCAAATTTATCATTTTAATGAAATTAAACAGAAATTAAGTGATGCAATAAATATAAAAACTAAAAATAAAAAACTACTAAAACTTCTTTAAAAACAAGAAAGGAAAGAAAGCTAACTTCGGCACGCCGAATTTTATTTACCCTTGCAGATAGAACTTCTATGACTAGGAATCCATACAATATAAATTATATATATTTGTGTTAAAAAACAATGAAGTAATAGCTGCTTTTATTTCATTCACCTAATCATATTATACTTGCAGTTTTACATTCACAGATTTGCATTTTTCTTCTACATCAAACGATCGTTTGTATGGCACCTATATGATATATTATAGTCGTCTGATTTTCATGAAATTCTACACAAAATTTAAGACTAATATAAAATGGCTATACCCCAAATTTGATGAAAATCTGTTGAAAACTGAAAAAGTTGCAGTTCTTAATTGTATTGATTTCTCGATTGTTCCAATGGGAGCTATATGATATAGTCGTCCGATCTGGCCCGTTCAGACATATATACGAGTGAGACTATATAGAAGGCTAACTACAAAGTTTCATTCAGATAGCTTCAAAACTGAGAGACTAGGATTCGTAAAAACGGACAGACGGACATGTCTAGATCGACTCAGCATGATCCTGATCAAGGATGTATATACTTTATATGGTCGGAGGTGCCTTCTTCACTGCGTTGCAAACTTCTGACTGAAATTATAATACCCTGCAAGGGTAAAGGTAAAGGTAAGACATACATATGTACCTACATGTACATACATCCTCAGTTAACGGACATACATGTTAACTGAGGATTTATGTATGTACATATAAACAATTTTATATGGTTGGACATTACTCTTTCATTGCGTTGCAAACTTTTGACAACAAGAATAGTCTCCAAGGGTATACAAATACTGATATCCGCTATACGCTTTCATTTATATGAATGTAAGTTCAGCATTTGTAAATTCGTTTCAATAGAAACCCGAAAAGGTTAAGTGAAACAGGATTACACCTTTATCTGCGGCCGGCGTTGGTCCCCCCGTAGGGACTGTGATTTTGGCGGCTGTAAATTTAACAATAATAAAGTATTTTCATTTCAGTATGCACTCACTTTTGTACAGGGATGTGATGACGAAAGCTGCGAATCGCGACGTGGGCGACTGCGATTCCCAGGTTGGCGCCCAGAATCACTGTGAGCCAGCCGCGGAGGCAACCGAACAGGTATCCAGCGGTGATGAGCAACACAAAGTAGCCGACTACCACGGGGAAGCTGACAAAGGTAAAGAGCGCCATAAAAACGGCAAAGGTCACCCAGGAGTCCTGCGTCTCAATCCAAAAGAGCAGTTGGCGGGCGTAGTCGCGCGAAATCCAGCCCACGAAGAGCAGAGCGCATAGGACGGACGCGGGAACCAGGAAACTGATGTACCAGTTGCGTGTCAAAAAGGCGTGGGCACGTACCCAGCAGGAGTTTCGCATTCGGCTGCGGGCGCTTCTTCGACTGCTGGAGCTGCTGATGAGGAACGAATCACACTCATCTTCGTCCACATTCACCGACGGTTCACTGGTGGGGAGGCAAACAGGGCACGGATCGGGTGCAGGCGTGGCTTGGCTATTGGTTCCAACCATAATGTCTGTTTCCAGCATTCCGCTGGAGCTGTTTCCCTGGATCAGCTGAGCGGAGACTTCTGTGGTGGCGGATGCTGGCTTCTGCGTGCTACTATTGTTTTTCACATATATGTTGGAGAAATAGTTTGCGTGGCTGCTGCTGTTGCACTCGTAGTTCATCGTCGTCATTGCCGGCTAATACCGTTAGCTCGCTCACTGCGATAAGGCCACCGAATTTCACATTTATGACCGCGCTGAAACATCTGTTCGGTGTTGTGGTTACCTTACACACATGTACATACGCATCACACATTAAAATAGAATCAAAGTTTCAACCCGTGAAATCAATTTTTCAACCGTAAAATCAATGTTTCAAACCGAAAAATCGATGTTTCAAACCGTAAAAGCATGGTTTGAAACCGTAAAATGCACACTAGAAATGTCGTCTCACGCCCTGTTCCGAACAGAAACCCTGACTGGAGCAGACAAATTCAGCAATATGATTTTGATAGTGTTTCTACAACTACCGAATGTACCTGCAACTTTTTCTAAAATAAATACATTTACTTTTAAGTGACCGTTAACGTCGGCAGAACTTGCCCCAACCAATACTGCAATAACTTGTATTCAGTATTTTTTTATTTTCTTATTTTTTTTTATATAAAATACCACTTCAACAACTCGGGGCCTGCGTGAACATCCGCATCAAAAGATTGATGCGAATCTAAGTGGCTGTGTAAAATGACCATAGGCTACATTTTAAAAAACAGCATTAGATATTGTCAAATGGCTTGAACATGAATCCAATACTTTCCAGTTTCACCGTTAGGAATGGAATTGTTCAGCAGTCTTACATTGGTCCCACTAATCGCTCAGCTGTTCTGTTGACCGCAACAAGTTGTGGTCAAGCAGTTTAGCTTTAATTTGAAAATTAAAAGGACAAATATGCTTTTTTACTGTCGATCAGTGGCGAGCCGGTCCGTTAGATGGAAATCAATATTAAGCGCGAACCACAACGGCTCTGATCAATCTAGTACTCAGCATGACAACACTCACAACATATTGCCAGCGTACTCTGCTGATCAACGCCTCAAGATTTTGGAAATAATCAACGATAGCTGCATGGAGCAAATGCTTAAGTTGGCTTGTGTGCAAACCTAGATACAAATAAGACCCTAATTTTTCATATTTCCAGCTACAACATAACTAAGCCAAGGGCCGCCAAGCTACAGAACTGGAAAAAACGATACGGTCCGGTGAAGGATCTCGGTGACATCTTGCACATTGAGGAGTTCAGTCTGAAGGTGGCAACAAAACTATTTAAAAGCCTACTTGAACAGGTCGACGGAGTGAGCAGCAGTGACGTAGTTTCCGGGCAGAAGCCAAAGACATCGCGAACGGCGCCCTTTATTACTCCGGCAATGGACGATAAGCGACGCTTACAGATCGTATCCAGCATAGGTGTTCGCATTGGGGTGACCAGCGTGAGCTGGGCACGAATTGAGATTGAGGGAAAGGATTCCTCCTGCCGTCTCACCAATTGGCAATACCATGAGCTCAATGATAAGAAAATGCACCTGGCCGAGCTTGTCCAGCGCTGTCTTTATGCCACGCACCAAATACCGCAGGCTGACTGTTACGTCTTAGAGAGTCCTCAGATGGCACAGGTCAGCAATAACCCCGGCAGCATAGACCAGCAAAACGTGAATATTCAGAAAGCTCAGGTTTCGGCTATAATGAGCTATGCACTGATGTCCCGCATGTACCCCGACGACAACAAGGCGAAAAACGTCTACTACATGCGCCGCTTCCTCACAGCCCGCCTCTTTAACCACCTGGTTGGTACGGAGCGCGTGACTACTGAAGATACCATATTGGCCATGATGCGAAATGGCACCCACTCTGAGTTTCCGGACACACAAGCGACAAACCTGCATAACAAAGTGCACTTTCCTGTCGAACTTCGGCAATTATTCTCGCATCTGGCGCGACACCAGCGAGATTTTCTGGGGCAAGCATTTCTGCTAAATCTGGCCTTTATTCGTTTGGTGCTCCTGAAGGATCCAACCAGCATCAGCGCTGTGTCTCGACAATCTAAGAGTCCCCTTCCAAGCGAAGCAGATTGCAAAGGTATATACGTTGGCCCTTCTGCACAATGACAACCTCACCTTTACTAAAAAAATTGAAGGCCATAAAGGAAACGTTTGTTTGTTTGTTGTTTTTTCTTATTTAAGATGTGTTGTAATTATAAATAAAAATGAATTCAGAAAATATGACGCTTAAAATTAAACAATAATAACTAAATGTAAATGAAATATTAAAAGTTTGTATGCCCTTGCCTTTTTGTCAATGGATCAATGAAAATCAGGCCATTTGCTTAAATGAAAAAGCCAAACGAAAGATATATGTATGTCATTTATAAGTATTTAAAAACACCGAGCTTGTTACTGATTTTCCAATGGTCGAATACAAATTAAATTGAAAACATGTTTTTAAAAGTTTTAGCTTACAGAGGCATCATTCGTATTTCAATTGACAATGATCTTTCAAGTCAAATCGCCTTCGATAAAAAATTTAATTCGTATATAATAAAACGTTTTTTTTAATTAAATCAAGTAATATGAACTTTCATAATAGTTTTATATTTACTTTTCTATGACATGGAAGCTATTTGATAATGGTTCGTTTTGGCTATAAATTAAATTTTGAAATAATTCAGTGTTACGGAGAAATTATTATAATTATAATAATAATATATGCATTCTTATGTGAATAGAAAAATAATTCAATGTTGCGGAGAAATCATATTAGCTTGTTCGACTCTGCTAATGATTATGATTAAGAATATGCATTTATACATCATGGGGTCCAAATGACTCCTTCACTGCAAGGCAAACATGGTCAAAATATTGTAGCGTTCAAAGGTATAATAATCAATAAGAATTTTACTTTGATCGCACGCTATTCTTATTTTGTACTTCTTGGGTTCCCAGTTTAATCGAATCTATCAATTTGCAATCTGCAACTGTATTATCAATCATTACACTCTATACACTCCATTACCTATTTAGCTGTGTGGTCTTTGATGGGTTTTCCCTACTTACCCCACAGGCGGATGCCCATAACACTGGCCTTTGTGTGTGGGTCAGCTGGCTGTAGAATGACTTCGCCATCCTTGTAGTCGGCATAAGTACACGGGTGGAGTACACGTTAGTGCAGGTGGTGGCCATCACGAGGAATCCCCGCTCTCGACCCAACTCGATAGTGGCGGCCACATTTTGTTCATGAAATGTGTGGCAGCATTAAAAAAGAGGAAAAAAGGCGAATGCATTTAAAAAAAATTCAGAGTTCCCGCAATTTACTAATTTGTCCCGCAATTCGACTTTGAAAACAGCCAGATTTGACGGGAAAAAACCTAAAGTGGCAGCACTGGCCTGGATCCAGTTAAAAGCCAGCACGAAAAAATCGTGTGCAAAAAAATCGTATGGCGTTACGAATCTTCCACTTTATACACTTTTTCGTAACAACAACTTTCTTTTAACAAGAAAGAAAGCTAACTTTGGCAAGCCGAAGTTGCAGATAGATCTTTGATCTCTAGGAATTAATACAATTTAAATTATATATATTTATGTTTATAAAAACAATGGAGTATTGCCTGCTTTCATTTTATTAACCTATACATACATACATATATTTACAGTTTTGTATTCCCAGTTTTTGCATTTTTCTCTGTATCTAACGATCGATTGTATGGCAGCTATATGATATAGTCGTCCAATTTACATAAAAATAAATTCAAAATTCGAGAAAAATATAAAAGGCCCATATGTCAAATTTGATAAATTTCTGTTGAAAACTGAAAATGTTATTTTTTTTTTTTTTAATATTTTCCGATCGTTTATATGGCAGCTATAGGATATAGTCGTTCGAACCGGCCCGTTCCGACATACATACGAGTGATAGTTTATAGAAGACTAACTGAAAAGTTTAATTCAGATAGCTTAAAAACTGAGACTAGTTTGCGTAGAAACGGACAGACGGACATGACTAGATCAAAGACTATACAATTTACACCACTCTATACACTCTTTGGCTAGATCGACTCGGTGGTTGATGCTGATAAAGATTATATATACTTTATATGGTCGGAGGTGACTCCTTCACTGCGTTGTCGACTGCTGACTAAAATTATAATACCCTGCAAGGGTATAAAAATGGTTTATTTACTTTCGTTTCCACACATTACCAGTAAGTTCTGCGAAAAATAGAGTGCCAACATAAGTTTTTATTGTTAATTTCCTACACTTCAAAATTACGAGGGTTTGTTTGTTTATGTACGTTATTATAAGTACAAAAAAACTTTGAACTTAATAAAAAAAAAAACGTCTGTTTTATTTGTCAAGGCTACATTTTAGACTACTATTCTTTTGCTTAACATTGCTAAGAAACGTGTTTTTTTAGTTCTAAATCCTGTGCTGAAAAAATGCGTTTCATCGTTCCGAATTTTATTAATTCTGTTTTATTTTGACTTTTTTATGTTTAATAATGTATTAATGTTTAACTAAAGGTAAGAAACTAAACTAAAATTTTTTGAGATACTTCAATGCTCGATGTAGGTTAATACTGTGGTGAAAAAGATAAGATATTGATCAAGGAAACTAGTGGTCATTTTTCTTGCCAGCGCCAGTCACGTTAAAATCGTCATCCGAAAAATAGGATACGGAACGGGTGTGAGCTGGCAGATTCCAGGCACCCAAATCTTTCTGAACAGCTTCACCGACTGGAGTACGGCGCACTTTAGGACGGGCACCCAGGGCGGGAAATGTAGTGACTTCATTTAAATTTTGGACAAAGCAGCTGTGGTCCGTGGGTACGTAAGAGCTAGATGCCGTGGAACGAAGACTGCCAGTAGGAGAGGTTTTGCCGGGTTTGTCTACTTGTTTGGATCGTGACTCTGGAAGGGAGTAGAAGGAGTCAAACGATGACTCTCGGTCGCGCGACGAGGCGTCTGCGGGAATCACCCGGTAGTTGGGTCGTGTCTTGGGCGGAACATGCCTCCCAGGTTGGACGGTAATGCCCAAATCACCGCACATAAAGTCGCTGAAGATGAAGCACCAGCGCTTCACCATGCTCTGTGTACAGTACTTGGAGCGATCGTTTTCTTCGTGAAACTGAAAGGGGTCGCAAAATAAAGATAATCTGGAAAATATTATTTTAGCTGTCTCACTCACCTGACAAGCGATTTCGGGTGTGAATTCAAAAAAATCCCTAAGAAAAAGGGAGTCTGTCGCAAATATGTTGATTTTATCATCTTGCAGCCCGGCTATGTTCAACACTTCCTTCTTTAGAACGAAGAACAAGTATTGTATGTCGTACACTAGGATTTCGTCTAAGCCGCTCTGCTTTTCGCTTTCGCAGGCCAAAAATCGGATACACGACTTGACCGATGACATCATTTCCGTGGGGGTGAACACAATTAGCGGCTTATTGCCGTGGCACTTGGTCAAATATTCAACAATTTGGCTATACAGCTTTGCCATGTTTCTTTCCCCCAGCGCCTTGGGAGGAAGTGGTAGTCCGTGAGTGGTCGTTGAATGATGCTGGGCGTCACTAGCCTGCCCAAAAATTATGTGACCCGGGTCTATTAAAGTGCTGTACACAGATATTATACCCTCCTTAAGGGAGAACTCGCATGCGGCGAACTCAGCCGGCACGTAGACGTCGCTTTTCAAGGCCTTGGTGAAATAGTTAAACGCGCAGAAAACAAATTTAGTGTTTTCTATGTCTGTACACCAAAGAAGAGTAAGTAACTAGTTTTAAGTTCAAAGTAATTAGAAAGTGTTGCTTACCATGCTGCTTTTTTGCATCCATCACGACGCGTTCGATACTGCGCTTCATGTGCAGCAGGTTGTCGGCCATTTCGCGTTGAGCTTGCTCCACATCTGAGATCGCCTGACCGTAGCAGTTGAGCCGCTCCTTAGTGGCGCGTGCCTGCACGTCGGCGTCCTTTGCGCCCGACTTATAAGGGCCGCGCTGCTGCGTAGACAAATTCTACAAAGACATATTTTAGACATTCGAATCGGAGGATAAACTCTGATTATACCTTCCACAACTCGCCGCAACGGGTTACCGCCTGGGCCAAGGTCATATTCCGGCTTTCTGGATTTTTATCGCGCCACTCGTTGACGAACATCATGAAACCACTGTGCTTTTTCGGAGCCATTTCGATGCTCTGGCTGGGCGAGGTAGGAGTTAAATGGGGTAGGTGTCAGGTAAGCGAGCACGTGCGTGCGAGTGAGCGAGAGGTCAGACGAACGAGCGCAACCAATAAAAGAGCAGGAATAGAATAGCTATGGACGTAGTGGCTCTGACCGAATAAAAAATCGTCGCAGTCCCTTCGAATATTGAAATTGAGAAGTATAACAAAAAAAAAACGATTTCTCACAAACTATAAACAAATCTCTAAGCTTTGGCCGGAGCACTGTTACTCGATCAAGAATGAGACGAAAATGAAATTGAAACCAGACCAATGATGCCGACGCCGCGAAAATTTAGAAATGGAATGGGTGCGTTCAACAACACATTCATGCATATCTTTCGATAGTTGTGATGGACGCGTCTCACCATCAAAAATGTAGTCTAACAAAAACGTGAATATCATTATATATATATATATATATATATATACAAATATTATATACATTTTTAGAGACATATTTTAGTAATTTTATATTTTTCTATATTATTTTAAATACAAATTCAGAACAGAGTCAACCTTAATAGGGTTACTAGCAAAGGTTATATACAATAAGAAACATTTATATATATTTATAAAATTTATAAAGTGTAAACTAAACCTAAAATAAATTCTTTTTATACAATTATTGATTTTGGGATTCTGCAAACCTTAGTCCGCAATAACAGTTAAATGTTTGGGAATCAGTTCACCTGAATTTTAAAACAAGATTTAAAATTAACGAAAACAGTAAACAGCGCTATAAGAGTATTTGGATAAATGCTTAATAAGTGTTTGCAATTTTGTCCATTAAGGTAAAGGTAAGCCCATATGAAAAAATAAATTATAACAAATAAATTGAAAAATGATTCAAATAATATTATCTTTATTGCGGACCTTTAAAGGAGCTTTCTAATAGTAAACTTAAATGAAGATTCTAAATCCTTTTTATACCCCTGAATGGTATTATAATTTAAGTCAAACGTTTGCAACGCAGTGATAGAGACATTTCCGATCATTAAAAGTATATATATTCTTTATCAGGATCAACAGCCTAGTCGATCTAGCCATGTCCGTCTGTCCGTCCGTCTGTCCGCAAGCTAGTTTTTTAGTTTTTAAGCTATCTGAATGAAACTTTGCAATTAGCCTTCTATATACTCTAATTCGTATATATGTCGGAAAGGGCCGGATCGAACTACTATATCAAAATAACTTTTAATTTTCAACAGATTTTCAAAAAATCTATGATATATCCCTCTTATTATTCTAAAATTTCGGATATGGAGTAAAGTGCAATATGTTTTTTGACATTAATATATATCATTTGTATTGTATTAATTTCTATTGATCGAATTGCAATCTGGAGGGGTATAAAAACTTCGGCATGCAGAAGATAGCTTTTTTCTTGTTTCAGTTAATTTTTGCTTTTTTTACCAACACTAGTAATGATTTTCACAATGCCAGCTATGCAGCACTAGTTAACGAACACGCATTGCCCCAGGCACCTGTTTGTTTTTATAGAGGAGGAAAAAGTTTGGTTGGGGGCCCCATGGAGGATAAACGTTGCACTGTCGTCAGTCACACTGAGCTTATGCCGCAGCGTGAATTCCACTGCCAGTTGTGCTTCGGAAAGGTTTATAAGATTCGTGCCCGCTATAAAGGCCATCTGAAGAGGATTCATCATATTACCACTGAACCAGACAATCGCTTATTCAACTGTTACCATTGCCCTTGCAGCGAATGCCGGTTCCACAAGCATGCTCCGGGAGTAATCGCTTTCTGCGAGATCTCCCAGCTCCGGCGCCATTACCAGCGACATCACATGGACCAAAATACAATTTGTCCTAAGGATCGAGCGAGCCCAAAAGAAGTCAAACACAAAAAGTCCCCAAGACCCACGTGGGAAAGAAAAAATCACACAAAGCGCTTTGCGTCTGTTCCGTAATAAGCCCGAGGCTGTGGACCAACAACATGCTAACCACGAGGATGATAAGGAGAATAAATCAAGGCCCATTGAGAGGCAGATGAAAAAGTGTCCTGAGTGCAAGAAGAAGTACTTTTTTCGCCATCGATGCTTTAAGCACCCATGCCAAAAGTGTGGGCGCGTCTTCTACTGCAAGTCGGCCTTGGAGTTTCACATGAAGAAATCCACGCACAGCTTACGGGTGGAGGACAAGATATTTGTGGATGAGATACTTCAGTTGCTGAGCAGCATTGAAGACGGTACTGTTCGGGACCCGCCATTGTTAAAGGCATTTGCGGAAATACTGCCGGTGCTCAAAAAGATCCAGGAGCCGTGAACGTGAACAAGTTCGCCATTTTTAATTTCAATTTTACGACCAAATAAATGGATTTATCGACCTAGCACATTGGAGTTTATCAACACTAGCAACTATTGGTAATTTGTACTAGAATTTTCTGGAATACTTTTGGAAAAGGCTTATAATTACAATACATTTACATACATACATATGTACATATGTATGTACGTAAGCGATATTTAGGTTTGAAGTTTTTTTTGGTTCGTAAAGTTTTTGCAGTATTAGACGTACATTGTTTTCTATGCCTAAAAGCTATCTCTTAAAATTCCGCTTTCTACCGCTCGTTTTAGTGTAACAGTTGCCACTTTGGACTATGAGCAACTATGACGAGAAGATCAATGTACTGCCGGAAATGGAGTACCCCTGTGAGATGCTCATCGACAGGTTCTTAATGGATCCCGGCCAGAATACGCAAAATAAACCGGGAGACAGTGATTTCAGTATGAACGGTGGCCTTAACGCATTCCTGCGTGCCAAGTCATTGGTGGATCCCGATAAAGCTTCGATATCTGACGTGCAAGACGACATGCGTCCCTCAGAGCAGGACGATCTTCACCCTTGGATGAGGTGCTGCGGACGCAACTTCAAGCACTCGGTTTTTTCGCTTCAACCAAGCCGAGCACCTAAGCGAGGACTTGGGCGTCACAGACGCGGGCTGTCTCGCGCACAACTTGGGCAGCCCAATCCCTAAGCAAAGAACATACAAAAAACCTTATCCAATATGATTCTTATGTATAATTAAAGAGATGTAATAAAAATAATACATTGTGTTTAGACATGCAATTTTTCAGTAGTAACCGCTAGAGTTGTAATCGATCGAATAGACTGGGGGCCACTGTGCATGGGCATTGAAGGCTGGAGGCTGTAAGTATGTATTCTGAACGCAAAGGTCTTGGATCCGGTGCCGAAGATCGTTTGACCCTAGGTAAAATTGAGAGCGCGATGTATGCAGACGATGGCGTAAGTCGAAGGGGCCCAAATTAGCCGGAGTTGGGCTATCGGGCGGCCCTAGTGTGTGATAGCTCAGCGCAGTTCTGTATTCAATGTTTCCGTAATGCGTCTGCATGTAGAACATGTGAGGGGCCGTTGGCGTGGGAAGCAGCTGTCTTCGCAATGATGATGGTCGGCTCACTCTATTGCCGTGAAGCGTAATCATTGGGGCGATGGGTCGGGGCAATGAGTTCACCGGGGAAGCACTTTTCATAGGTTGAAGCCTTTGCTCTCCTGACTGACTGGTTTGATCAGAGGTAGATATTTGGAGGGATGTCATCGTCTCACCCAGCAGAGACGGGCTGTGTGCAGACGGTGATTTTTTTCTGGAGGTAAGTTGAATTTTCAACATTGGGGGCGGGCCTTTCAAACGCTCTCGAAGTGGTGCCGGTGAGAATGTAGATCTGCTTCTAGAACGCTCTGTGCTCCTAGATAGACCGCTTTTTGGGATCTTTTCCTGGTGGGACCTGTTATTGCAATCATTTCGGATTGGGAATTTCAATCGAGGAGACCTGCTTCTGGATCGACGATTCCTTGAGTACTTTTCTGAAAGGGAACGACTTCTTGAACGTTGTCGAGGCAGGCGTAATGGGGAATATCGACTGCTGTGCGTCCTACGAAAGTCTTGAGATCTTCTCGGACTTGAGAAGGTATTTGGGCGACGTTGAATTCTTTCTGCCCAGCAGCGCTCTCCCTGGAGCGAGTGATGATACCTTATGTAGTCGGAACGATGCATATTACGCGGGCTTCGAGACCGACACCTCGAAGTAGGGTGTCGGTCCAGCCTCTCCGTCGGGGAACTTCGACGGATCCGTGTTTTTGCCCGGTCACTAGATTTATTTCGGTTCTGGGAAATACTTCTCCGATCTCTAGATCTGGTTGGGCTATTTCTTAGCTTAGACAGACTTCGGCGTGTCCGTACTTTTACCCTGTCACTAGATTTACTTCGGTGTTTTTTCTGATCCACCTTACAAAATTGTGAGTTCGGGGAAATACTTCTTCTCCAGTCTCTAGATTTGTCTAAGTTTTTTTTTGCTTAGACTGACTTCGGGAGCTTCTTTGGCTGTCGAAGCCACTTCTAATATGTTTAGATCTAAGATTGTGTCCAGTCTTACTCCTTGTATTTGTACTTCTACGCTCTTTCGACGATGGGCGGGGACTTTGAGGATTCGGCTCTATTGCTCTTTTTACTTTTGAGGAACTCCTTTGGGTTACAGGATTTCCTTCCTGGCCAGCGTTGGATGAACTGTTTTTAGGCTTGTTGTGGCTGTTCGAGTCAGGCGATTCAATTATTTGAGTTGTTCCACTTTCAATAAACTCGATGTTGAGGGAGGAACGATTGTTATCATAGTTACTTCTCCTAGTAAACAGGGATGTGTCATCGTCCAGGCACATAGAAGGTGGTGGCGGAGTGATCTCTGGCTTCAACTCAAAAGCCGACTCGGCCAGCTCTTCATCCAGGATTTCCCCTAGCTCGTCCAAGACATCCCACAGATCCTCGCAGAATGGCAAGCTCGATTCGCTTTTGATGCGAATTTCCGATGTTCCTGCTTTTGGCTCATGATCCTGACGGAGGTCAATGTGTCCGTCTCCCTTAGGTTGGAAAAGCTAAAAAAAAATGAACATATGATGAAGAATACGTTTGGATTCAGAATACCGAGCATTTGCTGGGAAGCACAATTCCCACGGCTGCTGAAAAATACGTACCTGTCTAGGAGGCGTTGTTGGGGGTTGGAGCACAGGGTCTTGTTTAGATAAGACTTTGTCATCATTCTTTCTCATTATTTTAAAATGTTTTTGTTGATGAGGCGCTATATGGCGTTGGCGTTAGTACATTTTTGGTCTGTTCAACGCATCTGTTGATCTTTGTGTTGCCACTTCCTTTTTCATGTCAAACCTAGCCTTTTGTCAAAATATGTTCTGCAGGGTATTTTTATTTATGAGGTTTTTATTTATGTAAAAGGTAATACTAATCTTATAAGAAGATTTCAGAATATTTTCTATATATATTTTACAATAGTACATCTTTATATTATATATGGTATTCTCTATTGGACTGAAAATATCTTCACCTAGAAACAGCTGTTGCGTACAAACAACACTTTGAATATATTTAATTATTGGGAGACACTGAAATCGCTGAAAATTGGCTTGAAAAGTGTGGCTATGAGTTCTTTTATGTCAAAGATTTAAAATGTTAAATGTGACGGTATATGCAATCCTTGCGACTTGGGTTTTGTTTGAAAAACTAGATGATAACAATTTTGGGGCTACACAGTTTAATATATCGCGAATAAATTTAGAAATTCAGTCATTCATTCGGATTGAAAAAACGGGGTTTCTTTTTTAAATCTTACAAGTTGTAAACAGTCTGTTAATATCTTTGGCTAAGATAACGCCGATTTCGGTAATGTTATCAACCGAATGTATCGTCGTGTTCGATGTATCGATATTTTTAAAAAACATCGATGCTGCCATCTATTTTTGACTAGTGTTGGCAACTTAGCTCTTTATGGACATATCTGGCTAATTTGCAAGACCAAAAATTGGAAACTAATGAATGCCAAATTGTGAGACATTATGTCAAGACCAAAAAGCACAAGGCGAACGTAAGTTTCACAAAGAAAACCAGACTATTTTTTTCCAGAAAGTCTACTGAGACACCAAATTTGACGATTAAATAACATTTTATTTTAGCTATACATTAAATTATTGAGTTACTATAATAATAGTATTAATATTAAGGAATATTACATCATATTTTTTATGGTTAAAAAAACAGCTTTTTACTTTGCTATTTGTTGTTCGTTTATTTACCTGTTTTCGGCTATTTTCGTTAGCCTGTCCAGGTTTAATGTCGATTGATATTTAGCAAGACTTGTCGGAAACACGTCGGTCTTTCGTATCGTATCGGTGATATTTTATGGATAAGAACAGAAAATACCATTATAAAATATCACATTAAATATATTTTGCAATATCCAAACATATTAAAAAATAAAAATAAATATGTATATATATATCGATGTTTGGGCAAACAATGAATATCACGATTCAAATATATCAATTGAGAAAAATATCGATATATTGATATTTTGATTCAACAACTCTACTTCCACGTACGTTCTGAAAAAAAATAGACTTATTTTTTCTCATTGTTGCCAGTACTGCAAAACTTTTGCAATAAAGATACATAAATAAACGTCCCCCGTTCTAGTGCCGTTTACCAGCCACTCCGATCTGATTCAAACGAATCGTTATGGCCACCTCAGCTGCTGCCCCCACTAAGCAGGAGATCGAGTCCGTCTTCAGTCGCCTGCGCTCCCAGCCAGCCAACAAAGTAAGTGCCACGTTTGGAACTGTTTGCTACTGAGCCTATAATGCTAATCCCCCTTCGTCAAATGTCTCGCCGTTCTTGCTTTTAGTCCTGCTTTGACTGTGCGGCCAAGGCTCCAACATGGTCTTCGGTTACCTATGGCATCTTCATTTGCATCGACTGCTCGGCAGTTCACCGCAATCTCGGTGTGCACTTGACCTTTGTGCGGAGCACCAATCTGGATACTAACTGGACATGGCTGCAGCTACGTCAGATGCAGTTGGGGGGCAATGCGAACGCTGCACAGTTCTTTCGGGCGCACAACTGCAGCAGCACAGACGCCCAAGTCAAGTACAATTCGCGGGCGGCGCAGCTCTACCGGGACAAGTTGTTATCTCAGGCTCAGCAGGCAATGAAGGTGCACAGCAACAAGGTGAGCTTCAAATATCCTACGTAGTGTACGTGGGAATCAGGGATACAAAATGACAAAGTTACTCGTTACACATGCTCTTGCCTGGAGTTTTATAGACGGAACAACCTAATTAACATTTGCTTTTGCTGCCCCACCTTGTATTTGCCCCCATCTGCTTGACACCCAATCCTGATTCCCAATCTACATTTCCGTCCACGTCCGTAATGCCCAAAACAATGTAGCTGCATCTGGAGAATTTGGACAAAAGCGAAGGTAATGAGGCCGCCAAGGAGGAGGACTTTTTTGCCCAGTGCGACAATGAAGAGGACTTCAATGTGGAGAACAACAACTTGAGCCAGGTAGGAAAACGCACACGGACACACGCACACGCTTGCCTTTTAAGTTGTCTTGTTATTTCCGAATGGTCAGCACCAGTATTGGATTGACATTTTAATTTATTTCCAGCTTGATCAAAAGCCGACTATTGTTGCTCCGGTTGCCGACTTAGAGACTCAGTTGTGTGGTGGTGCTCCAAGCGTAGATCTGCTCAATTCGGTCGCGGCCCCAAAAGTTCCATCTTCTATTGGCGTTCGCAAGATTCAGCCCAAAAAAGGAGGAGTACGTTTAAATGCTAACTTTTACAAACTAGATTAATCTATAATGAAGTGTTGTTGTATCTTTTAGCTGGGGGCTCGTAAAGTGGGAGGCCTGGGAGCTACCAAGGTCAAGACCAACTTCGCAGACATCGAAGCACGTGCGAACGCTGCCAATGAGATGAAGACATCCCTTGCCCAGGCAGTGCCCGCGGACAAGATTCAGACGGCCGAGGAAGAGTTGGAGACGGTGGCCAGCATGCGACTAGCGTACCAGGAGCTCTCTTTGCAGAAGACTCGCGAGGAGGCCAAGCTGAAAAACATGGATCCAGCCAAGGCCAAGCAGATGGAGCGTCTGGGCATGGGCTTCAGCCTGCGTGGGTCAGACGTGGCCCATTCAGCCATTGCCGACATGGAGACTCTACAGCAGTCGGCCGCTCCAAAGAGCAAGCTGTCTGCCCTAGAGAGCGACAACTTTTTCACTGACTATTCCCTCTATGGAAACAGCAGCAGCGGCGGGTCAGTTAGTTCTAGCGAGAAGCGCGAGAACTCTGTTAACGGCTCTAGCAAGCTGGATAAGTTTGAACTCGATTCACTGGGCTACGAGACGATAGAGCCCATTGGCGGCACGCACAGCAACATTACGTCTATGTTCGCCACCAGTAATGCCTATGACAATACCAAGGCGTCGACTGCGGGAAAAAGCGGATCTAGCAGTGGATTTACTGCCACAGCCACCACGAAATCGACCGGAAAAAGCAAAGCCACTGTCAGCAATGATCCGGTGATCGCCCAGCAAAAGTTCGGAAACTCCAAGGGCTTCGGCTCTGACCAATACTTTGCCAGCGAACAGTCACCAGCTGACATAAGCGCTAGCTTAAACCGCTTCCAGGGATCGCGAGCCATATCATCGTCTGACTATTTTGGCGACGGGACTCCTGGCAGCAGTGCCGGCACTAGAGGTGAGTTCAAAAGAATTTTTTGTGGGATGCAGATTGAGAATTGCTCTTTTGCAGGCGGTGGATACTCGTCATCGGTCAACTTCAGTGCTCCTGACCTGGATGTGGAGAGCGTAAAGGAGAGCGTGCGTCAGGGTGTGCACAAAGTGGCCGGCCGGCTAAGTAATCTGGCGAACGACGTGATGACCTCGTGGCAGGACAAATATGGCTACTGATATCGGCTAGATTCCCGTACTGCTCTGGGAGACAGCGACATCGCGAGGAAGACCACTAGCGGAGTCAGACAGCAGTCTAATTTTAACGTTTTTATATATTAGTCACATTTAGCGATTATGCAGAAAGTTATGAAGGATTCCAAGCAGTTAGAAACTTAGCATAGCATCAGGGGAGCAGATTGCATTCTGCTTACCACGTATCGTTCTTACATATATGAAATATAACAGCAGAAACTGAAACTAAATCCATGCAGTAAAAAGAGCTGTATAGTTTATAGTGTCTAGTGTCTTTAATATTCATGCATGAACACATATACATATATATGTATATACCTATATACAGAGATATTTATAGAGGCAACATAATTTCTATTGGGCGACCTATTTAACTTTAAAAGTTACGGTTTAGATGAAATTTAGGTGACGGTGTAAATATGAACATTTAGAAAACTAGAGCTATTGTAGACCGTACATCTGAACAGGAAATATTTTTAGCTAAACTGTCATTTACCTAAATTCAAAACTTGTCACGTTAGATACTAAAACAGAATTAAAGGGCGTTTCTAAACTATGAATAATTTTAACGTTAATGTTTTATTATTAATTTTAACAATGTTTTTAGAGGACCATTGCTTGGTCCTTTTCTTTGGCGGCCTTCAGAAATTACGAAAATTATAGGCATATTTTTATACCCTTGAAGGGTATTATAATTTCAGTCAGAAGTTTGCAGTGAAGGAGTCACCTCCGACCATATAAAGTAGTCGAGTCGAGTCGAGTCGATCTACCCATATCCGGCTGTCCGTTTCTAAGCGAACTAGTCTCTCAGGTTTGAAGCTGTCTGAATGAAACTTTTCAGTTAGTCTATACATATATATAAAGAGGAAAGGTTTGATTTTTTGTTTGTTTGTATGAATTGAATAGGCTCCGAAAGTACTTGGCAGATTTGAAAAATTCTTTCAGTGTAGGAAAGCTACATCATTCCTGAGTGACATAGGCTATATTTCATTTAAAAAAAAATAGGCATCCTTACTAAAATTACGATAACGTAATCCAAGGTGTTAAAAAAATATCAAAAAACTACCTTACATCTACCGCCCTCTACAGGCAGACAGCTGAATCAAAGCATTTCCTGTCAAACATTCAAAACATATTGAAATAAGGAATTGGAGATAAAAATTTTATTTTTTTGTTCAGGTTCAGTAAGAAACGAAGTCATGCCACCCAAGAAGTCGAGTTTGGGTCGTCGAACTCGCAATACAGAAGCAAAAAGACGTAAGATTACGAATATGACTGACGAAGAACGGGCCTCCATCCGAGAGACTGAGCGGCTGAGAGCAATGCAGATGCACAACGAAGAATCAGCAGAAAGACGAGCAGATAGGCTTGAGAGAAAACGATTGAGAGTTAGGCAGTCGCGTTCTGCAGCAATCGATTTGATTCACTCTCAAAATAATGAACGCGACAGGGCAAGGGTAGCTGAAGCGCGTTTACAGCTTGCAGAAGATCAAAACCTGCAATACAATCGTGTTGCATTCAGATATAATCCAACTATTGATTACAGCTCGAATCGAATGTCGTTATTGGCCGGATGCATCAGGTCTGCATATACTGTCAGGCCTCTTCGATTGAATCAGACGAAACTTCGGTCCGAGGAATATATCCATTTGCGGGATGCTGAGATGAATGCTGCAACTCTCTTGAAGGATGGCAAAACTGCTCATTCTACTTTTAAACTTCCACTATCCGTCAATCTTGAACAACAATCTACATGTTCCATCCGCAAAAATGGACCTATTGGTAAATTACTACAAGACGCCTCATTGATTATGTGGGACGAATGCACGATGAGCCATAGAGCACATATAGAGGCCGTGAACAGAACCTTACAGGATCTAAGGAACTCCTCTGCAGTCATGGGCGGGATTACTTTTGTATTTGTTGGAGATTTTCGACAGACTCTCCCCGTTATTAACAGAGGCACGCGAGCAGATATCATCAAGGCATGCTTGAAATCGTCTCCCATATGGACTACGATTGAAACATTAAAATTAAGGACAAATATGAGAGCTCATCTTCATGGAATCACTGATAGCGATTTCCCACAGCAACTGCTAAAACTTCGGGAAGGAATTTTTCCAACTCCAAATTTAAGCGGTCATTGTGACATTCTTTTGGATGAGTCTCTATGCCAAATACTCCATAATTTGGAAAATTTAATAGATTCTGTATACCCTGATATCGAGAATTTGCACGAAAGAGACTTCCATTGGCTGTGTTCTCGGGCTATAGTATCACCTAAGAATGATACTGTCAATGAAATAAATAATCTGATTGTTCAAAAACAAAAACATACAAATCGATCGACACTGTAACGAATATTGAAGATGCAGTCCATTATTGAACCCTTCTGGACTGCCACCCCATGAATTGACGTTAAAAATCGGAATCCCAATCATGCTTTTAAGAAATTAATGGGACGAGGCTGCTTATTAAGGAGTTAAAGGACAATTTAATAGTAGCAACTATTATCACTGGCCCAGCAAGTGGTCAACTAGCTCATATACCGAGGATACCGATGATCCCAACTGATCTGCCAATCCCATTTAAACGGCTTCAATTTCCGGTAAAAACATCTTTCGCATTAACAATTAACAAGTCCCAAGGCCAAACCTTCGAATTAGTAGGGATCGATCTGCGAAAGAAATGTTTTACTCATGGTCAACTGTATGTTAGTCTATCGCGAGTAGGAGCCCCTGAAAATCAATTTATTTTGCTGTCACAAAATAAAACAACATCAAATATTGTTTACAGAGAAGCTCTAACAAAATAAATGTATTTTCTTTTAGGGTTATGACCTCAATAATTGAAAAAAAAAAACAAAAAATAAAGGATGAATATGTGTCATATTATTATTATTATTATGAATGTGTTAAAATTGACAAATCTAAATGTAATGTTTAATGCCCGTGCGAAGCCGGGACGGGCCGCTAGTCTTCTATAAACTCTCACTCGTATGTATGTCGGAACGGGCCGGATCGGACGATTATATCATATAGCTGCCATAGAAATTATAGAAAAATTTTTACAAAAAAAATATTAAATTTTCGGTTTTCAACAGAATTTGATCAAATTTCAGATATTGCTATTTTATATTACTTTACAATTTTGTGTAAAATTTTATGAAAATCGGACTACTATATCGTATATATTATAACATTTTCAGTTTTCAACATATTTTCATCAAATTTAAGACATATATTTTTTAATTTTATCTAATTTTTTATTATAGAATTTTGATTTTAATTTTATGAAAATCGGACGACATTCACAGTTTTGCATTTTCTTCTATATACATATGTATATCCTATTTAGGTGAATGAAATGAAAGCAGACATTACGTCATAGTATTTTAACATAACTATTATTTATATTTTATTGTGTTATTTATACTGTATTAATTCCTAGTTATCGAAGTTCTATCTGCAGGGGTATATACTTCGGGTATATATATAAGTTATATCTGCAGGGGTAACTTCGGCGTGTCGAAGTTAGCTTTCTTTCTTGTTTTTCGTATCAGATCAGATGGTTGACGATGATGACGACCCATAAAGTTGTGCATAATTAGATTGTCGACAAAAGGCTCTGGAACAAGAGGTTGGTTATGAAAATAACCGCACGGTCTCAAAGATCCCACGCTACTAGAATACAACGAAGTTACTTATAATTATTAAGTTGAGCAAGAATACTTTCAAAAATTTTCTGTTGGCTTTTAATTGTCCTTAGCTGTGCTGCGAACTTAAGAATTTTCACTTTAAAAATAGTATCATATCATCAAAGACTTTCATCATACTTTTCGAAAACAGAACAGAAATAGGACTTTATTTAAATGCTCTCAAGGATGGACAATTTTCCTACTAATTACAAGAGAATCTTAATAGACTTGTTTGATTGGGTGCACTTGCGCGTTACTGAGGCCTGGAGTGATGGGGATGGCCGTCAAAGAGATGCTCAGTGGCGGAACTTGCTGGGATTGGGGCGAACACGTCGGCTGGCGGAGTCGGGGGAACCGTATGCGATGGCGTGGCTAGTGGCGGATCCGCCCTCGCCTGTGCTGAAGGAGTTGGCAATAGCGATGGCGCCACCATTGGTGCCTCCAAAGTCGATGGGGAAGAAGGTGCCGGCAGGCAGGGCAGCGGCGGGCTTCTTCGAGGGCTTGCCTCCGGCCGGAGCGGCGGCCTTGACGGGCTTCTTAGCTACTGGACGACGGGCATTGGGCACGCGGACTGGGTTGACTGGTTTCACGGGCACGGCCAGTTCTTCTTCGTCCTCCTCGACATCGTCAGCCACGGCATTCTCCGCCTCGTCATCATCCTCGATAGCGGCTGCCTGGGATTGCTCCTCTTCGGGCGACTGATCCAGCTCGACAATCACCTTCTTCTTGGCTGGCAGGTAGCGATTGCCGGGCACAACGGGAGCAACGGGAGCGATCGGGGCGGGTGCGACCTGTTCGTTCTCGGCCACGGGTAGGGGCACGGCTTCCTCTTCAGCGGCAACGGCGCCGACAGCGGCTTCCTCGGCAGCAAAGTTAAAGTCACGCGGAACTTTGGCGGCATCGTCAGCAGCTTCGGGCTGAGACTCCTGATCGGCCTCCGACTCGGCCTGCGGCACAACATCGGCATCGATAGCCACCTGGACGACTGGGGCCTGGTCAGGGTAGGCCTCAGCCACGGAGCTAGCACCGTGGGCATCGGCCGCGGCCAGAACGTCCTCGGCCTGGACTCCCTCGGCGCTGAGCTCGGACTCTGCGTGATTGCAATCTTTGGTTAGGAAGGGTATGGTTAGTGGTGGCCGGCATGGATGATGGGACTGCTTACCCTTCAGGTAGGTGCCGGTGGCGACGGTCTCGCCGGCCACAAGGGCGCTGGCCGCCTGGGTGGAGCGAGCATGGGTTCGGCCAGGCTGCACGTACTGCATGTACATGAATCGTTGCTGGGGCGCTCCTCCGTACCACTCGGCAGCGGCGGGCTGCTGGTAGTATACCATTCCTGGAACGAGGTATTGCCGGTCTTCAGTAGTGCAGCGAATGGGAATGGAACCGGGGATGATTGTGATTCGTGGGATTTGTGAGATTTGTGAGTGACTTAGGGAGCTGAGAATGCGTAATCCTTTTGGCGGTGAACTCACTTTTCCTGGCGGGCAAGGCATCGAGGCTGGCCACAATTCCAGCGATCAGCATCATAGCCAGGGCCACACTGAACTTCATTTTGGGCTGCGCTAAGGTATGGTTGGGCGAACGATATTGATTTAAATCCTTGGATTGGTCGGAGAGATTGGACTCGGAGTTGTGGGTACTGATCACAGCAGGAGCTAAACTTGTCACTGAAGTTTCCACCAAAGAAGTGATGTCTGTTCGGGGCAGCGAGTTAGATTTATATACACGGCGCGACGCAAAAAGACCAGCACAACGAGCATAATGAGAGGCGGTCGCAAAAAATCGGATATACCCATAGGCAGCGACCGATCACTGCTTAATATGCAGCGGGGATCATCGCGGGAACGTGCGAACCATCCGCCTAGCGACTCCACTTTCTGGCTGACGACGCAGATTGCCGCACTGCGGAGTTCGTTTTACCAAAGAGCCCGGCGACCGGTGGACGATTTGGACGAATTGGACAGTGGTGCTGGGCCAAAGATCGAACTCGGACCGCCAAAAATATCCGTGCAGCCGCGGGGACACATGTGGGCCATAAAATCTCAATTGGCAATTTATTTTAAGGTCATTCCGAAGCCCCACAGTCAGGAAAGGCGGACGCAGGTTTATGGGTGCGTGTGTGGCTTATCGCCCTGATAGAAGTGCGCCGCAAAGTGAATTAAAAAGCCAGTCCAAGACATGCGCTGCATGAGCAATCCCGAGTAGATCAGCATGGATCCAGGCGGTGAATCAGAAGTTTGTTGACGTCAGCCAAAGTTCTTATGAGGGTGCCAGATGGGCCTCTTAAATGTCCATTACGGAGGGTTCCTCCCAGCCCCATTAATCTTACAACCTGATGCAGTGATTGTTAAAGTGCCGTTTGTCATATTTTCACCAGTTTCCGGCGACTTGTTATAAACGCCTCATCAATGGAAGCCATTTGTGTCCGAATTGCAGTTTAAATCAATATTATCAATAAAAAGCTGCGCTTGGGTCTTAATGGACTCATTCTTTTGCTAGGGAATTAAATTATTTTATCGTATCTAAGTAAGTGTAACATGTACCCTATAGGGGAATTACTCCTTCAGTTGGGGGCCACTCATAGGGTTAATTTCACGCTTTGTATTTTTTGCAAAATGCTTTATGATTTATCCAAAACGAATACCAAAATATCAACTTTATATGCAAATGCCTCATAGTTCTTGAGCGAAAAATTACTGTGTTTCGCATGACAATAGACTGTACTGCCAAATACTTTAAAACAAAATGAATTAAATTATCATGGTGAACACTGGATGCTCTGGCTTTAGCATTTGATGATTGATTTCGTTAATTTTAACTAGTATTGAAGCCAAATAGCCCAAGTATAACTTTGTGATAATCTAAAATGAATATGCTAAGTTCAATTGATTTTAGGAAATGTTTCTGTACATTAGTCTGTATAAATATCTCAATATCAGAAACCATTAGCGAAAAATCAACAACAATATAATTTTTATAGATTGAAAGCAAATTAAGTTGAACCTCTGCATGCACTTTTACAGAAAATGTAAAGATTTCTAATAAGTTTTAAATTAGTTTCTGTGAACATTTTCTGAAGAATTTATTACAATTTGATGATGAACATGGGACGTATTAGGCAGTATGAATGCATTTTTTACGGTTCTATATTCTATAAATTGGGAACAACAAATACGTAAATAAATTTAAAAAAAAAATGTAGATATTTAATACGAATATTATTTAATTTATGCAGGAGCTTATTTAAGATATTTTCAAGTATAAATATTTGGAACTAATCATATAATATATTTTCAAAAATATCAAAATAAAGGAATCTACAGAATTTGTTTGCATCTCAAATATATTATTTTTAGTAGACTTTTGCAATGGTTTTCTGTAATTACTTAAAAGTGTTATTTTCTTAATAATATATTTATTGTAAATATTATCAGTATGTGCTGCACATTTTTCAACAATGTACCCGACAAGGAAGAACCAATTCAAAATGTGGAAAAAACAAAGCAAATAAAAATAGACCCAATCGACTTTTATATCCTGTTCAACACCTGTTTATCAGCTCCCGGCTTCTGCTGTTTATGCAAATTGTGAGATGTTTTTTGGTGGCTCTTTTGCTTATGTTTTTTTACGTTCCATTTAATTCCGTAATTTGGAACACCCAAGACCATTAAATCGAATGTCCACGGCACTAGATAGGCGAAACCCGATACAGAAGACCACAGAGTATCCCAAGGAAAAAACAAACTACCTAATGCTCGACATTAGTGCCGATATGCAAACGGAATTTTAATGTTTTTTTCTTTTGCTTAAAAGGCAATTTGTGACCGATTGGCGATGGACAACGCCAATCCAGTTAATGTGAAAAAACCCCACGTTCATAATACGAAATTGTACCATACGGAAAGTAATTATATTTTCGAAAAGTACTTCCGCATCCATCCATGATGGTAGCCTTTCAGCTCTACTTAATGTCATCCCGCTCATGTGTTACCAAATTTGGTTAAAAGCGTTGCTCTGACATTTAACACTTGGCATGCGGTTCCAGCGAGCCTTCAGTTGGTCCTGACCCGGGCCAAGACACTTTACCCTGCCTGACAATGCAATTAATCAACTCAAATTAAAATTAACTTAATTCCAGACAGCTCGACATTGCGGTCATGCCACGGGTCCCGATGCTGACTTTCGAAAGATGTGCATATCAGAGCCTCTGGCTCGATATTGGTCATATTTTATATAGGTAATGTATACAAAAAAAAATTTAGATTAAATTTAAAAGTGTAAATTCACAATTAAATGATTAAAACATTAATCCCCTGATTCGACAATCAAATGACACTATAACCAAACATATTCTTTATTCTTAAAAGGGATCTCTTTTAGTTCTCTTTTTTGGAATTGTTTGTTCTTAAGGTCCCGAGTTATGGGAACCGATAAATGTGAGTTTTCTTTTAATGGAATTTATCAACTTTATTTGTGGTTCTATAATAGTTTCCAATTACTTTAAGAATAGATTAAAATAAAAAACAAATTTTATAAAAAAATCCCAGTTTAATAACTATTTGGTCTTCACTGTGAATGGAATTTTAGAACCTCGGTGCAAACAGGAGTAAGTTTAAGTTAATATTAGTATTAAGAAAATACAATTTTAACTAACATTTTACTTTACCCGGAAATAAGACTACAAAAATGTTGTATGTAATTATCTTTTTACCCTTGATAAATAGCTCGATATCCAATATTTAAGAGATATATTTTAGAACGTTATTGGTAACGATTTCCATCTTTCTCTCAAAAATAAAAAAAACATGAGTATTCCCATAATGGCAAAGTACAAATGTGTAAGATATTTATACTTTTATTTTCGTTTGTTCCTATTTCTTCGATTTGGTGTTATAAAAAACAATAAAACTAATTAATTGGGTTTACAACTTCTTCCCGATACGACCCATTTCTGTTATCAAAAATTGATGTGCCTTTGAGTGTGCCTTATAGACTTGCAGGGTAACGACAATTCGTATCGTCCCCTTGCCGATCATCCTATGAATTCCCGACTTCAGGCTGTCGGCTGCCATGGGCAGTGATTAAGTGCAACTGGAGCCGTACATGTGACACCAGCTGGCCCAGAATCCCGCGCTGACCTCACCAGTGCTCATTTTTCTCGCCGGCTGTCACTGGCCAAGTTGGCAATTAAAGATATATATGTAAACGGGACTCTGGCCGCTCTGGGCCTTTCCTTCTATTTTTTGTGGAAATAAATTGTAGAAATAGGGAAAAACGTGCAACAGCTGTTTACCGTTCACCGCTGTCCCCGGAGCGGAGCGGGAAGCCGAAGTGGTAATGTGGCCCGGAGAAGGGCACTGCACCGGCGGAGTACATGCAAACCAGTTGCCATTTTCACTTCTGCGACTTTTTCAGAATTTATTTTCACACTAGCGAGGACAACTTTTGCTGGGCGGCCACATGGCCCAGGAGTGTTGCGTCCGTCCATTTCGTCCTAGCTCCAAACTCCTGCTCCAGTTTCGTCAGTTCCTGTGGGCCATGTCCTCCCTGCTAAGTATGTGAGTGCCGCAGTAGCCAAGATGTTGCCATGTTTTGTCTGCTGCACTTTAATGGCTTCATATTTCCTGCAAAATTAGAGAAGTTACTTTTGCCTACAGTTCGAGTTGCTCTTGGCCCTGGGCTCTAACTTGGCGGCGCGAACTGGTTCTGCCCCGTCTTTGTTCACAGCCGTCTCCTTGGCTTTGCTGTGAGTTTCTCGCTGCTCATTATGGGCGGACCACTCCTTCTCACCGAGTCTACTCCATTAAACTGTAATTTTTGGCAACATTTTGGTTTGCATAAATCTTGGCCCGACTGTAGTGGTTCCCGGTCCACATTCTCTCGGTCCCTGGTGTCCTTGTAGCTCACGCTTGCACACGCCTCGAGTTTATTAAAAAGTCCTCAACATATTATGGTTACTTAAACTATTAAAATAGCTATGTCTGACTCTTTGCGTGCATGTATGGGGATGTTCCCCGAGGACCCTGAGTCCTTAGTTTGCTCCTTTGCCGCAGATAATGTGTAAATAATTTGAGGGCCAACAATGGGCTGGAGTCTTGGGAATAACAGATTGGGACCGGGGATATCCATCTATTAAAACCGCAAATCAGTACGGAGCGCATCCAGGAACTTTTTCGGCTTTTGGGAGGCCTCGAAATAAATGGACTTTGGGTCAGAAAGCATGGCCATTGGCCATGTGGAGTAACATAGCACAAGAAATCGCCGCACCAAAAAACGAAACAACTGCAGTGTGACAACAATGGGACAGTCGCAATCGGTTTTGTGGCAAGTGTCCTGCCCAATGGCTGCTGGCTTGTGGCAGGTCCCGGTCCCCCGGGAAAGGCTGCAACCAATGCCGGCGGCAAGAACCTGGGACGGATGGCGACTTTGTCACAGAACAAATAACTTACCCAGAAAGCCGCAGACCCAGCCCCTCGGGGCAGCTGCAACAACAAGTGACCGCTAATGTTTAGCCACATGTGGGGGCAGAGGACATGGACTGTCCTGAAAACTATTTGGAATTGCATTGTCAAAGTTTCTGCTCCAAGGTATTCAAATTTATACAACACAATAGAAAACAAGAAAGGAAGTTGCCCTCAGGACACCCATGCTTGTATACCTCTCGCAG